ATATATATATATATATATGTATATATGCGTATATTTAAAGGAACATAGGTTCCTGAAAGTTCACATCTGCTGCAAAAAAACGTCTTAGGAACGTGGAATGAGTTTTTGAGTATACTGATTATTATTATTATTATTATTATTATTATTAAAGTTATATATATATATAGTTTATACCGTGTGGACATTATTATTATTATTATTATTATTATTATTGCATAAGATATCAAAAAAAGAATACCGCGTATAAGACAAAAATTTAGATTATCATCTGCTAGGAACACGCGCTTTATAAGAAAACATATGATTATTTTGTTTATTATTATTTGTAAAGCGCGCACACACACCAACGATGGATGCATCAGACCACAGACTTCTTTGCATCTCTCTCTCTCTCGCAGGAAAATTTCTTTATCTTTCGAATGAATAGAATGTAATCACGTGGACGATCGTCACTGGAACCACCTCTCATATATATTGTGAGTTGAATACAATGTCAAGTAAAAAATATATTATGGATTTCCATTTTGTTCTTTTTGAGAGTAAAAACGTATCGATGTTTTGTTTAACTCTAACAGAGTCCACTCTTCTAACAATACTTGTTTTATGGGTTTTACGATGGAAAGCATGTAAATTTATATGTATATATGTGAACAGGTTCTCCGAAAAGGTCAGAATTTCAATACGTTCAACTTATCGAATGAAAGTTAGTCGATGAGTATCATTGTATGATAGCAAATAGAGCTTTCTATTGTATTTGATAGTAGAGTTATCAAAAAATAAATAAGATGATCTTAGAACGTATATGCAAATTTTCTATTGAGTTTTATAAACCTTTCCAAAAACCCTGTACATACATACATACATGCATAAATCCGTCAAGAATTTATTTAACAAGGAGCGTTTTGCGATAAAATTGTTTAAGTTCGTAATTAAGCTTTTTTGTTGTTTTCTTTTTCTTTTGTTTCGTTTTGTACACTTGAGACGTTCGTTTTTTCGACAAACGATAATTATAATTATTTTTTTTTGAATTTTCTCTTTTTTTGTTTTTTTAAATATGGAACTTTCTCGTGTTGAACACAGAATATATTGTTACTGTTACTATTGTGTTGTATTCAATTATTATTACTACTATTACTATTATTATTATATTATATTATTATTATTATTATTAATAATATTATTAATATTGTTATTATAATTATTAGCACATAGGAAACTTAATTAAGAATGCATAGATTTTATCGTTAACTCCCCTTGTATAAGCATTGCCTCTTCTTACTACTGTGTTTAAATATTTTTCACTCTCAGGCATTTGCAAGAATAATAATACATCGCGTTATTAATAAAATACGTATAGAAAAAATCGTTAGATTTATCGACTTAAAGCCATTAGTTTCTGCCATTGTGTTTTCTTTTTTTTTTCAATTAACATTCATACATATACATATATTTTATACCGTAGAATTCCCTGCGTACAACGTGAATTTAAATTATACATACCAAAAACATTGAATTAAATAATCAAATTGTAAATTATATATATATATGTTTGTATTGTTATTATTATTATTATATTAAAAGAAGACCTTTTAATTGTGGCAAATGAAAATGAGAAATCGATTGAATAAAATTGTGTCAGGCAGCGTTATGGTATTTTCACCGTTTGTTTAATAAACAACACTGTCGACTAGAGTGATTGATTGTTTAGTTGTTGCATATGCATTTGTAAAAAACAATAAAGTATACCAGCCTGTGCCATAACATCTACGGTACCTGCAGCTAATGGGTCTCGACTTTTAGAATCCGATCGAGAATTTGTACCTGGTCGTAGTAGAGTTGGCCCAAATACCGTCGCCAAATTGTGCAAAGACATTTTGTTCTGTCCTTCGTGTTTGTTGACGCGTATTAAATGGGCAAGTAGAAAATCGATAACTGCTTTATTCACGGACGGTAATCCTTCGTATACTCGTCGCAAAGCTGCACCTCTTGATAATTCTCCTGTTTGGAATGCTTCCAAAAATGCTGGGTAAAGGGCGTCTGTAAATAATGCTTCCGGCATTTCACGTAGATACAATTTCAATACGCCAGTTACCGAATGTACATCAACCTGTATATATAATATATACTTGTATATTGTATTTACGTTATAATACATTTAAAAATAATTCTACAAACCTCTTTGAGAAGTTGTTCAGCTTCGTAAGAATTACTTTCAAATGATTTACGAAGTTTCGTTAAATCAGATGCTGATCCTGATACTCGATATAATCCTACTTCTCCGACACCTCTTCTTTCAACTTCTCTTACGCAGGCAGTTATTATGAATGGTACATCACGTTTTTCTCGTCTACCAAACAGACATTCGCTCATATTAATTAGATATCATTATTTATTTTGCTAATAATTAATACATACTTGCAAACTTGTTGTATTCGAGCACCAAATAAGCCTTGAGGTTTAGCCGATGGTACCCGCCTTAATGTTACTTCGCTGGGAACGAATCTAAGAGCTACATCTAATGTAGCTGGACCCAAACTCAAGGATCTTTCCACTTGATCGGATTGCAACCATGATCTACTTAATCGTTGAATACATTTGCCTCTTAATACTGAACGTGTTCCACATTCTTCATAAAGTAAAATCCTAACATTTTGACTACCTTCTAATTCAACCACAAATGTCTCACCTTTACAAATACAATTTAAAATATATATTATTCACTGTGTTAAATAAAATAATTGGATGTAAATAATAAGAACTTACCCCAAGTCGGAGCTTGACTCCTAATAACTCGGCTTTTAGCTCGTTTAAAGTAATGTCCATAACTATCCACTTCTACGATAATATACAAGTCTCCTATTCTATCTAATCCTGGTGGTGTTAAGCCTAGCAAAGTTAGATGCAAGTCTCCAAGTAATAAACTTTCATCACGTCCAGATCTCAATAAATAACTGCCCATGTCTGTTTGTAAATATGTTCGACAAGCTGTAACCCAAGCTTGTAATTCATACATCGTCAAAGGTAGAGGTCCTGGTGGTTGGCCGCCCTACATTTAACAAATTTTTTATATTATTATAAAAATAACATTGAAGTATATATAAATGTGTACCTGTTGCAATGCTTCCACAGCTTCAATCCATTGAGATCGTTCAAATTCACTGGAGAGAAAGAAAGTATATGCGTTTTGCACTCGATGTTGATTCTTATGGGCTACCCGCATTAATAAATTCGGTGATGCTAATACCAATTGTGCTTCTAGTTCTGCTAATTTTTTACGATTTTTTTCCGAACCTCTACCACCAAGTCTAATTCTTTTTTCGTCATTTCGTTCTTCCCACAAAATTTGATCTCTCACTGTACATGCTTGAGATCTGTGTATAAAAGAAATAATAATAATAATTATTATTATTATTCAAGGAATTTGATAACAATGATAAATATTACTATTACAATACCTCAAAGCAACTACATTAGCTGGACTAGTCTCTCGTGGTTCAATACCATCTTCTGTAACAACTGCTTCTGCCACTGGCACGTACCACTTTAATTCAAACGTAAACTTGTCTCTACCGGAAGCTTTATATTTAGCACAAGCAATAACATCATTAAATAAAAATAGATGCCTCAATTTTCTATGACCATCTGAAAGTTCAACGACGAATGAATTTTTGACTAATCTTCTTTGTGCTCTGTCATGACTCTGTAAAAATAAAAAACAAGTTTTTTAATATGTCGTGAAATAATATCTTAATATATAAATATTCAAATTCTTACCGGGAACATCGACTTAGTTTGAATAATATTAAATTCATCAAGAAAATTTCTAGTCATAGCAAGTGCTTCTGATAGCGGTGCATGATCAGCATGATTCATGGGTGTGTGCTTAAGTAGATCCTACAATCGATTGAACAGTAAAATTATCAATACAACATTAAAGATAAGATAAACTCTTGCTTAAAGGTTATATTGATGGGATATATAATAATAAGTGATTAATATATCTCAGTAGAATTCCAAATGTCTTATCGATGCTTTGAAGAAATCAACAAAAATAAAAGAAGACAAAATAAAAAGAATATAAGAATGATATTTATATATAATATAAATTAATTGAATATTTCGTCAAATTATAAATGCACACGTACGTGTAAAACTAATGCATTTTTTTGAACACGAGCGACAGGTTTGTGTAGAAGATCTTCGAGAGATAAACCTGGACCTTTAGGAAATCCTCTGAGTCGTATGTCTCTAGTGATTTCTCCGAATTGTGTAGAATGAGCAGAACATCTACGAACAGTATCGGTAGCACGAGCATAATTATGTAAAAATGCACCATACAATCCTATATTGCTGGCCATAATCTGTAATTAATTCCAAACAAATATTACAATAATATATAATCATCGAGATTATCATTCTTAAATGTATATAAGAATAAAATGTACCTTAAATTGTTCTCCTATAGTAGTTTTAAAATCCCACTTTTCAGTTTTTTTTCTAAGTTCGTCTAAGAAGTTTTGATGTAGTTTATGTAATTCAGGAATCTTATAAAACATAGTACCAAATTCTTCTTCCGAAATAACCGGTTGAGACGTCGTCAATGTAGCTCTGATAGCTTTCATGTACTGTATAATTTGTTTATTATATTAATTAACATCTTATGTGTATACTTTATATGATTAGAAGAACAATGTATTACTTACTTGTAACATAACATTTAAACACTCAACATAAACTGCTTCACTTTCAACTACAGAGTTGACAATACATTTCACCATAGATGTTCTATCATCTTCTCTATCTTTACTTTTTTCTTGTCTACGTGGCGTAGTCGGTGTTGGTGATTCCAAACTTCCTTCACTTAAACTTAATGGTTCAGCATCACTACTTCCAGTTTCATTGTCAGTACTAAGTGCACGTAATAAAATTGGTGGTGCAGGACTGGCACCTTCTTCATCTTCACTATCCATTGCTGCCCTATGTCTAGAAAAATAAATATATTCAATATTTTTGCACATAGTATATATATATTAAGATTATGAAATAATAATTAATAACTTACTGAATAAAATAATCTATGTTGACATAGTTACTCTGATTGCCTGGAGATTCTGGAAGCGATGGTGGTCTACGAGGAGGTGCTCTGGTTGCATTATTATTACCTACTGGTGGAACACGAGCATCAATATAAACATATTCCCCAGTTTGATCCAAAGCTACCGAATCATAGTAAGGTTCTTCTTCTGATGCCTCAGCATCTCCATCTTCTCCATCTTCGTTAATAGCTTTCTCAGATTCTACTTGATTCAAATATAAATGTCAATAGAAGAATATATTATCATCAATCTTTAATCTAATAAGATATTATATAATATCAAACCTTTTTCATCTTCTTCTTTAAAAGAATTATTAGTTTTATCTTTCTTCGAACTTCCGGTAACTTCAATTACAGTGACATAATTACTTGGCACATCAGGATCACTATTCCTTCTGGTTTCAGGCACTTTTTCAGGACTTCTAGGTATCTCGCTCTTAGGTCTTTTATTAGTTCCAAGTGTAGAACTCAATTCGGAAACACATTTATCCTGAAATTTGCTAATGTCTTCTCGTACTGGAAGAGGTGGTGGAGAATGATCCGTATTTTGACAATGTCCGATATTAGCAGATTCTATATTATCAGATACATGCTTTCCACTTTGAAGTTCTCCTGAATTCTGCTTATTGTCAAGCAGCGTAGTATTAGTACTATTAGCCAACTGTTTGTGTCTTTCGACATCGGCTAATAATCGTTCCAAATATTCTACATAGAACTCTTCTTTTTCTAATTCTTCTCTCAACGCTGTTACCTAATAACGAAAATAAAACAAATTACTTGTTAATGTCAGCGTGTAATATAGGAGTGGAACTATTCCACTCTAAACGATTATTCTTATCAGTAAGTAAACATCACCAATACGTAATCAAAATGTATATCATTGTTATTATGAATAGGCAAGTAAAGTTGAGTTACCTTTTGCTTGTGTTTGACCAAATTAGCTCTAACATCTTCCTCCCAAGCAGCCGGTAATGCGCTATCTGGGAATCTCTGTACCCAGACGCGCTGAAAATCTCCGAAAACGCTCATCGTTTAATTTCCCGCTTCTTGTCGTCGTCGTCGTCGTTGTGTTGTTGTTGTTGTTGAAGAAGGAGGAAGAAAACAAGAAAAAAAGAAAAGGAAAATAACAACACTTATTCAGAAAGCTGTATACATCTCACACACGGGCGCGGCAATCATAGTCACGCGTATTTCCCTTTAATTCCTTACGAATCGTAAATCTTATCGATACGACAACGACAACGACGGTGATGATGATGATGATGATGATGATGATGATGACGATGATGACGAAGATAACAACAATAATAATAATAATAATAATGAAGATGCACTTGAATTTAGATGTGGAAATAAATCTCACGTTACAATTAGTTGCTCTTTCAAGGATAATTTAGCAATATCGCTTTCAAAAATTAAGCTTTCAAACATCGTTGAGCCGCTGTCATCTTGTCGACATCGCACGATGTCGTCTACACCCCGCTTAGGTCACAATCCGATTACTCTCGTATCCTCCACCTCCTCCTCCTCCTCCTTTTTCTCCACCACCTCCTCCTCTTCTTCTTCTTCTTCTTCTTCTTCTTCTTCGTCCTCTTCTTCTTCCTCTTCTTCTTCTTCTTTTTTTTCTTTGACTGTTCTTCTTATTATTCTTCCTAACATTTTTCACGCCTCCGCCATATTAGATTTATCTACTCCCAGTTAATATTCATTCATTCAGGGAACAAACGAGACCTAGATCAGAGAAAGAAAATTACAATCAACTAACGTAAATCAAATTGGGATTTCCCTTTGGTCACAGTAGGAGGGCCTTTTTAATCCCTGAAATATCCGCTCGTTACAAATATATTACGTGTTCTTCCAACCCTATCTCCCACTCTCTTTCCCTCTTTCTCTTTTCCCCTTTACCTATCCTTCTATCCTCTCCACCTACCCTCGATCCGCCCCACTTTTATTCATATGAACAATCTTCCATTATTTTGTCGACCGTGTAATAAATGCCCCTCCTTTTCTCCAATCATTGCAAACATTATTTACTAAATTAATTGTAATTTATCTTATAGGTATTTCCATTATGTAACCAATAAAAGGATCAATATAAACAAAAAAATATAACCTATCTTAACTTTCTAATCAATTTAAAAGATACATGTTATACGTATGTAATGAGTTTAATACCTTCGAATTATTTATCTACGTAAGAATTGCCGAATCATCATTGAAATATTTCTCTCGTAATAACGCGCGAGAGATATGTTATTCAAATATTATTTATGATTATTAATTCTAACTATTTATATTATTTTAATTCACGCGTTTACATTTGATCAAATCAATTGAAAAGACTGGAATAATTGTATATTTAAAAAATGTACAAATAATGATGAATCATAACAATAACTTTTATGCACAGATTATGAATAATTATGACATATTATATAAGGTAGATCTGATTTTAAATAATTCGAAGTATTTGTACAGCGCCACGTTGTATCGATTTTAGGTACTACGAAAAAATGGAGGTTATTTTGAAAAGATAGTAAGAAAATAAAAGTAATAATTATAAAAAACTTTAAAATTTATAAAAGAAACAATGAATAACAGATGATTATGATTTTTGCATGTATAAAAAAATCAAATAAAGCTTGATAATCGTCGAATTGTGTTGAAAAAGAAAAATCTTATTACTTTCGTTTTTGACAGGTGCTGTACCCACTCTAGCATTTGTCAATCTGCAACACTGTAACTATTTTGAGGTTATGTATTATCTATAAGAAGTACAATTTTATATAAATTTAAAGGTATTTTCATAAAATGTCATCACCAAATGAAAAATCAGATCTTTCACTTCTTATAGAATTATCAAAGTACTTAAAAGTTAATTCCAAAAGTGGTATCACTAATTGTTTGGCACGATTGAAAACGGACTCCAAATGCTATAGACAATTTGTTAAAGATGGAGGTCTTACTATTTTGATTAAATTATTAAGGTCTCAAGATTTAAAAATTTTAAATATGACGTTAAGTTTATTAGCAAATGCATGCTTAATTTCTGATGCTAGAGAAGAGGTAAACATCGTTTCATATATTTTAAACATAATTTTAAATATCATATATATTATAATTTCATAGAACAATGTAACTTTGCTTACTTAATTTATTCATTTATTTATTTACTTTTTTCTATGTTATTTCAGGTTAAAGGAACTAGAATAGGATATTATATAATTTGCATAATGAAAAAATTAAAATCGGATAGCGCTATTCAATGTCGTGCTTGTAGATTAATTGGTAATCTAAGCGAATGCAGTTGGCATGCTAAAAGTTTGTACGAAGCTGGTTCGATACAGGAACTTTCTAAATTATTACAATCTAAAACGAATACTCAAACTTATCTAATGGTAATCAGAGCAATAAGGTAAATAATTTTAGTTGAATCTAATTGCAATGTAAAAACATTACACATTATTTTACCAAGATATTAATATTATTAATTTGTTCTGTTTGTTATAGAAATATTTGGAGTATGCACGAAGGTTGTAGAGAAGACGTATTAGATGCTGGTATAATTAAAAATATAACAGGCTTATTAATAATAGCTAATAACAAAGCTATTGTAAGTACAAAATATACAGAATTAGTAGAAGTATGTTTAAAAGCCATGTGTGCATTTCTTATCTGTCTGGAACCTCGTTGTGGAATACAAATGCAAGGAGAAAAAGATTTAGAAGGATACAAATGCATCGTCGACGGTTGTAGTAGAAATAATAAATTAGCTATTAAATGCCTTTGTAATCTTAGCCAAATAGCAGAATGTCGTCCTAATCTTGGATCTTCAGGAGCGATAGAAATTTTAATATCTTTAATGGAGAAACATTCAAAAGTTCCCAAAGAATTATTAGCCAGTTTATGTATGTTTTGTCGAGAATCGGTTAATCGTGCTAAAATTAGAAATAATTCTGGCTTGGAACTCATACTCACGTTTTTAAAAAAAAACGAAATGGAACAATATCATCCTACGTTATTACTCGCTCTTGCGCAATTTATATACGACGATCAAAGTATTTTAATAATGATTAATAATGGATTATTCGACGTGCTGAACGTTAAATTAAAGAAAATGGTTGAAAATGCATTGGAAAATAGAAAAGAACAAGAAATATCTACGAAACGAAATTATTTGTCGTCTTCGGATAGAAAAATCAGTTTTAAATATTTAAAATCAGAGATAGGACGATTCAGCGTAGATTATCCTAAAGACGATTGGAGTCCGTGTAGTTCGACAAGTTTTTTCTCATCTCCTTCTAGTACACCACCATTACCATTTTATGATTCTGCGGAAACAGATGAAAATGCAGAAGATAATTATAGTCCTGTTTGTAGTGATACAGAATGGGAAAATTATGATGAAGGTATATATATATTAATACTTTGACCAAGATTTTGTTATCTCTTAATTTAGAATTTCTTTTAAAAATATTATGTAATAATGTACAATTAACGTTTTATCTTATACAGAACCACAAGAAGAGGTTGAATCTTTAAAAAGCTGTAAATCGTTACCAATCGAAGATGATGAATCTCGTGACTCAGGAACATTTCACAAGTTTACTTCTTCCGAATACACAAGTGCATGGACCTTAGCTTTATTAAACAGATTGAGTCTGCTTAGTGAACCTATAGAAAAATTAGTTGATCCTAAGACAATTGGACCATTATCTTCGTACATTCGATATTCAAAAAATTATAAAGCTTCTAAAATACTTACAAGAATATTAAGGTAAATAAGAAGATTATTAATATTATTTAATAAAATTGATAAACGATAGATAAGGTAATAGGTGTTTAAACGTTTTCTCTTTGTTTTTTCTTTTTAGAAATAGCGCGTATTTAATTCCATTGGTCAAACAAGGTTTTGCTTTCGAAGCGCAAACTTTATATGGCTCGGAATATTACACTCGACAGCTGTGTGCTTTAGGAGAAACCGGAGGGATCATAGGAGAGCTTACTTCTATATTAATACGTGGGGAGGATCCTCACAAGACAATGGTCGCTATATCAATACCTTTTATAATTAAGTCTAAAACTCATTTAAAATTTTTATTAAACAATAATGGTGGTTTAAAATTAATATTAAATATATTAAATGATAGAGAACACGCTTTAAACGATAATGCTGTCTGGTCAATTTGCCAATTGGCAAATACATTACAAATTCGCCCTGAATTCAACGACAAGGGTTTAATACCAGATACGGTTACAACCGATTATCCGAAACTTTACGAAAGTCTTCCAAAGCCGTCAATTGTTACATTTGAATTAGACGATGGTTCAACAGTTGACGCATGTAGAAAAACCTTATGTCAAAAGTCAGATGCTTTTTCTGCTATGCTCGAAGGAAATTTTTCTGAATCTGGAAAAAGACGCGTTAAATTGAAAAATACATCGAAGGAAGGACTAAACGTATTAATTTCAGTTATGAACGGTGCTACTTTGGAAAATACGACTATAGAATCACTTTTAGATGCTGCCTTATTAGCAGATAAATTTTTAATGTCTGATATTACGGATACTTTAACGGCAAGTTCAATAGCTATGCTTAGCCATGAAAATTTCAGTCGAGCATGGAATTGGGCTAGAAATAATTCTTGTTACGAACTTAAAACTTGTTGCGTCAAAAGATTTCTATCGACGAAAATGTCTATGACTGAAAGGATCCAAGCATTTCGTGAATTTTCCAATGAAAATACTTTTCCTGAATTTTTGGATGATATCAAAGAAATTATTAATAGTTATTTGTGCCAACCTTAATTTAATTCATTGTAATTAAGCCTAATTGTGATATGGTATAAATATATTAATCGTATATATGTATATGTGTATGTATTATGTACACACACACAAACATATATATATATAAAATTATTGTTTTATATAATAATAACATAAAATATATAATAATTTGGAACTTGGACATATTTATCATGCACATTAATTAATAATCATATTGAAAGAAAAAAAAAAAAGATAACCAAGGTCTTAATGTTAAGTGCTTCGTCATGTATGATACAATTGTGTACACAAGAAAATGAAGAAGGAAAATAATAATTATCAATTTTTAATTCTTACGATAAGAGAAAGAAGGCTTCAAGTTAATAAAAAAAAAAAAATTGTTAGATTGAGAAGGAAATAGTAATATAGGAGAAAAACAGGTTGTTTTTTTTTTTACATTCCTTGGTGTATTTAAGATTTTAATATATAGTATATATATATATATATTATATTTAATAAAATTTTTAAAATTGTACACATTTTTTTTTATATATAACTTGCAGCATTCTTTATCAATTATTTAAATAATAATTTCATCTTGTGAATTGTATATACAAAATAATATGAGATTGTAAATAATCGTCTTTTCTCTTTTAATAATCATCCGAATTTAAATGGCAATGTAAGATTTAACTTTACGTCTTAATGAAAAAAGGCGATAAAAAAAAATATTATATATACATACATATATATATATGTATATATATATATATATGTAATATGTAAAAAGTTACTATAAAAAAAAATTTGTCTACGATTCATCATCGACATTATCCTTAATTTATTCTCTACTATCTTACCGTAAAATTTCTCTTAATTAATTTAAGCTTTATTGGTTTAGATGGTACAGATATCAAGTGCAATACCAATTTCACTTCGTCTTTATTCATACATTTTATTTTGAAAGTACGAACAAGCTGTAAATAAAAAAAAAAAAAAAAAAAAGAAAACAACAAGATTTATTAGATATTTGAAATATTTGAATAGAATAATTTATGTTTGAAAAGAAAAACAAAAAATGATTACCTCGGCCAATACAAGAGATATTTGAATTTCAGCGAGTTTACGACCTACGCAACTTCTTGCTCCTAAAGCAAATGGTATATTAGCATGAGGATTAACCACGTCCTGATAATTACCATTTTCTGTTCGTATCCACCTTTCTGGATAAAATTCGTTCGGTCGTGGAAAATTAATAGGATCTCTGCTACTCGAATACAATGAAAGTAAAATTAATTCCTGTATAACAAAAAAAAGAAGAGAAAAAAAAAAGAAAAATTCATTGATTCAATATTGTTGTAGTCATTCAATTAAATTAATTCATTTTCTTGTAATCATCAATATGCATGTAAATACTATTAATGATATTACTGGAAAAACAAACGTATTAAAATTTGATAATTACCCCTTTAGGTACAAAATATCCACCAATGACATTATCCTCTGGCAAATATCTCGTAATAAATGGAGCTATTGGGTATAGCCTAAGGGTTTCCTTGATAACTCCTTTTATCAATGAATTACGTAATATTTCCTTGGATGATAAATTCTTAATAGATTCGTACAACTTGTCTTGCAATTTGGTATCATTACCAAGTAAAAATAGCATCCATTGAGTTGAGAAAGCTGTCTGAAAATAAAATGAAAACAAGTTGAATGTTAACATTGACCTGAACGATTAATAACAAGTAATCAAATGAACATGTCACTGATTTAATATTTGTAATAAAAGAAAATACCGTATCTCCAGCTGCAATAATAAAGTCAGTGACTATCCTAACAAGATCATCGTCCCGAATTCCTTCGTTCATCATCGTCTGCAGTAGACCATCACCACCAAGGTGAACCATTTCCGGTACCAATGTTCGAACGATACTTAATGCCGAATCTGCAGACTCAACGAATTTATTCCAGGAAGGTAGTCTCAAGGTTTTTGCTAATTTTGCCGGTAATACTGATAACTCAGCTGTATATTCGAATATTTTGTGCAATGATTTAGCTAAGTTTTCCGAATGACGTGATATTACTGGTTTATGTTGATGCCATGTAGATCCCATTAAAGTTGCCAACATTGCTATTTTGTATGGGAATATGTTTCATTGAAAATAATTCACAAAATATTCGTCGAAATATAGAATTGTTATTAAATATTACCTTCGATTGACCATTGATATAGTTGAGTTTCCAATTGGGATAACGTATCATCACTATTACGTTGAATTATCCATTTTTCTACTAATCCCTCAGCAGCCTTTTGGCATGGACCAACAAACATGTCCGTTGGGTCTGATAACAGCATCACCTTGTTTAATATTCGCCGATATTGTAACCATTCTTCTCCGTTCCTACGAAATAATATTGTTTATTTAATTCAATTACATTTTATGTTAAATCTATGAAAAATAGGATTAAGGATATAATTCATCAGTATTATTATATTGTATATAAGAATATAATTATGTTAAGTATCACGTAACTCTATTAATTTTATATTGTAATAAATTTCTTTTACATTAATATAAATAATAATGTAATGATTAAAAAAAGGAAGAAGAAAAATTGACTTACATGAAAAGCAATCCTCGTTCCAAAGATCTAAGCTCATTATAAAGAATCCAAGCCTCCGGAAGAAAGTGTTTTGGCGTTGGTCCTTCGAGTCTAAAAATTCTTCGAAATTCTTGGGGTGAATTAACAAAAACTGCCATTACCGGGCCAATACGTTCTCTATAAATTGGTCCTAATTCTTTATGCCTACGATCAACGTATTCGTGAAGCATCTTAGCACCACCGGTATTTAAAAATTCAAATATCGTACCAAATAACGGGAAACCTTTGGGTTTCGGTGGTTCCCTTAAAATAACTGCCGAATTTGTTGTAACCGAAGTTACATATTTTCTTTCGACATAAGACTTTCCCGATGATATGTCCGATTTCTTTTTGATGTCCATTTTATTTTTATCATTTACGTTACCATTGACGAAAAGTTTTTTGCGCGACATAGAAGCCGCGTTAAACAAAGATGGACGAGATCTTTTCAAACTCGACCATAACGTACGCATTCTCGATAATAAATATATTCTTTTAATGAGAGAAAAGGACAAGAAGAAATAAAGGAATATAAAAAAAGGACGATTTTACGAAACGTTCGAATATATAATCCTCTCGTATTAACTTGGCGAATAATTTTATGTCTGGCGAAATTGGAAACGACGATCAAATTCAAACGATCATGTTTTAACAACGATCACGTTTTCTCTGACCACCTCTCCTATTTCAATCTTCTTATATCTCTTACTAATTCCTTTTTTCTTTTATTTTTCTTATTTTATCTTATTTATATTTTATTTATATCATATTAATTCATTTGCATACGACCATTGAATGAATCCAATGTTATATGTTCTATTGGAATCTTTCATTCAAAATCTATTTATATTCGATTCATTTAAAATACTAATAACGATACAAAATGGCGTTACTCTTCTTCTTCTTCTTCTTCTTCTCCTTTTTTTCTTCTTCTTCTTCTTCTTCTTTCTTTTCTTTTCTTTTTTTCTTCTATAAACGTAAATAATTCAAAACGGAACCGGTTAACGCACAGTGCGTGAATGTGCGCGCTGCAGTTGTTGTTTGCTGTTCTTATTCTCGTCTTATTTCTTTCTTTCTTTCTATTTCTTTTCTTTTCTTTTCTTTTTTTCTTTATTTATCTCCTTTTCTTCTTCTCCGTTTCTTCTTTAGTTTTCGTTTATTTTGTATAAATTTTAATAATAATACAAAACAAAAAATGGAAACCGCACAGTGCGTGAATTATTCGCGCTACAGTTGTTGTGTTGATTTACTGTTCTTATTCTCGTCTTTATATATCTTCTCCTTCTTCCCTGGTTCTTTAAATTTATATTTTTCTACAATAAATCTTAATAATAATTAAATTAACAAAAATAAAAAGAAGATCGTTTTAGAGACACACACACATAGACAACATACGCGCAGAGTGCATGAAAGGTTGCGCGCGCGCGTGCTGCAATTCGCGGCTGAATGTCGAGACCGGAAATCGGACCGGAAAGCGGCGCGTCGCCGGCTACCAATCAGAATTATTCTTCTTAGCTTCGCGCCTCAAGATCCGAATACCGTTGTTGAACTATGCCGTTATCTAGAGAAGCCCGTTTACTTTATCCACAACCCCCTTCCACTATCTTTTTATTCTTCTTCTTCTTCTTCTTCCTCTTCTTCTTCTTCTTTTTCATAAACGAGAATAACGAAGAATTCTTCCTCTTCCTCTTCCTCTTCCTTTCTTCTTTTTCGATCAACCAACTTCTCTTGACTACTTTGTTAATATAATTTTATAAAATACCTTTAACGCACAAAGCACAATTTTATTTCACATTAGCAACACGCGACGACTATGATGACGATGATGATGATGATGATGATCAAGTGGAGAAGAAGAAGAAGAAGAAGAAGAAGAGGAAAAGAAGAACAATGTCGACAACGTTATCGTCGATCGAACAACTCAACCCGTCTTCTTTTCTTATCGTTCACGCGTCGTTGAATCTCCTGCACACATTTACGTTTCTTTTCCTTCTTTCTTACTCGTTCGTATTCGAAATATAAACTGCAGTTGTTTCTTTATTTTTCTTTCTTTACTAACAACATGTATTTATATTCTAACTCGTATTTTATTTGTTTATATCCTAACGAAGGAAACTAGATCTTTTTAAATACTTATCATTGTTCCCGCCATTTTATTTCTCCCACCTCCATGCTAATTCATTCACTTATTCATTCACTAATTCATAATTGTTTTATTCAGGTGTATATTATCAACTAATTCTCTATTCAATTATAAAACGCACCACCACCTACTTATGCTTGTTTTTAGTTAAAAAAAAAAAAAAAAGAAAAGAAAAAAATGCACGTTTGGTTTAACTTCTTACATATATGTTTTAATGCGTGTTTATTTGTTTTATATATGGTGGGTGTATATGTAGGATACTTTCTCATGCTCGGGTTGTCGCTAACTGGAGAACCCAACGACCGAGACTGCTTGAAGTTTAACAGTTTCGAACATTTTTCAATCTCTTACTCGAGTCTCTTCAAACTCCGACAGAGAGAAAGAGAGAGAAAAGCAGAGTGGGGATTCCTTTCTGTTCTATACAAGTCTCTTTAATTATAGAAACTGTCAAAGTATTTGACAAAATAATGCATTCGACATTTCCTTTATTTCTTCTAATCGTCCAACGATTGTATCAATTATTATAACACATAATAAATAGAAAACGATTCATTTTACTCGATAATCTAATTAATTATATTATCAAATATATTTGTATAATTTATCGGATAAATTAGTTCTTTTCCAAAACGAAATAAAAAAAGAAGAAAAAAATAGATCAAATCAATTTGTTCAACTTTAGTTAGGACGATTTTAAAATTGTTTTTTGATCCTTTATCAAACAAATGTGGAAATTCGTAGAAAATAAATTCTATAATTACATGTATGTATGTGTATAAGGAATGATTTAAAACTGGCGGTAAATAAAATCTATACCTATATATATGTATGATGATACTATAGATAAAAAGGGTAAAGAAATCTACTTTTAAAGTCTGATAGGATTCACAGACTTTGAACGGTACACGATAATATCCACTATAAATAATGCAATAGACGTACCAATCAATCTGGAATATCTATTTCTTGTATTTAATGTCATACCAATGATATTTTGGTGAGATTAAAAATCCAACTTCCGATGAAATAACATTGAACTCTTAAACGCATTAGATAAATCTTACAATTTTCTTTCCTTCGTTAGAATATTTTTCTTTATAATAATCTAATAATTATATCAGTTATTACGATAAATGTTGAAATAGTATAAAAACAAGAAGAAAGTGCTTTCTTTTTTTTTTTAAATGATATTATCAATGCTATACTATGCAAGAGAATGTTTGTCATTTAAACAATATTTATATACATATATATATATATTTATTACGATCCATGTGAAAATGGTTGAAGAAAAATATTTTCAATCTGAAATTCAAATCTTTCGAATCTTTCTTCTTTTTCCTCTACTATCTCGGAAGGAATATAAATAAGAAGAGTAGTAGTATACTAATGCAAATCATCTTTTTTCCATTCCAAATCGTGGTGGAACGTGCTTGGTCAAGGACCGCTGAAAAATTCTGACCGTTTTAAGTTGTTTTTCGTTATACGTACGCATATATATATATATATAAATATTTTTTCTTTTAAATTATTATTATTATTATTATTATTATATTGATTTGCTTTGAATGTTCGTAATCGATTTATTTCCCTAATCGTCACGAATTTTTTGAACAATTTTTATTAATATCTTGCTCAAAAAAATTCCTTTCGAAATATAACAAATATTTATTGATTATTTTTAAATATAAATAAATCACACACACACACACAAATATTATTTATATTACATATTGAATAAATACGCTAACGAAAACTACATGTACGAACATTTATCATTATCAAACGTGACCTTGTATCGTGACTATTTAATTATTAAAAATAATCTTACAAAGACAAATTTAGTAAATCGAAACAATGTATGATAAAAAAAAAAAAATCAAATGAAATGAAAAGATAAAGATACTTGTGAAATGATTGAAATAAATCATCGTCATATTCATCGAACACTCGTCAACGATAAAAGAAATTTCGTACGTATCTTATATTATTTTTTGTCTTCTTCTTCTTCTTTTTTCTTGTTTTGAAGAAAAACAGAAAGATAAAAAAAAAAAGGTATCCTTCAAATTTCTTGCATACCGGAAGATGGCGCTTTTCCGTAATTGCATACACTTTCTTTTTTTTTTCTATTTCCACATTCGAGAAAGCGACGATGACGGCGCCATCTATGCAACCTTTGGAGAATTAACGTTGCACTTCAGTGACGTATCAAGATATTCTGGTGCCTCCCTCTTGTGAATTTTCTTCTAACGCCATGAGTTTGTACTTTTTCTTTCTTCTTTCTCCTTTCTTTTATTTCTTTCTCTCTCAATTACGGTAGAAATGACAAATCCTAAAGGAAAGTATATGAAAGAGTTAAAAAATCAATTGTATCATGTAAATAAATTAAATTATTTTTATTTGTAGTAATTATAATCGTTATATTTTATTTACAAATTTAAATTGTTTATCTAATGTTGATTAAATCGATCGAAAAGACTGAAGATAACGATATACCCGATATCATAGAACATACGATAGTGATTGCATGTCTCGACAGTGTTCTATGGTTATTCATTGACGACCATTCTACACGAGGAGACGATATTTAAGATAAATATTATTCAACATTTTTCATACAAAAGATTTATTTTTTATTTCAATACTTATAAATAATAAATCATTTCATCCAAAGTATAGAAAGAAAAATATATAAATAACAAACGACCAAAAAAAATGGACACTGACGTTGAATCTTGCTTAAAAGATTGGAATGACTTGGCACGAGATTATAAGGAGTTGGAGGTAAAAAAAAAAAAAAAATCAAAGAAAAATCTAACTGAAATAATCGGGGAAGGAGGGTGAAAATATTCAACTTTTATTTTTCGCTTTTTCTACTTCAATAATATTCTTTTTGTCGCAAAAGAAAGATAGGTTAAGTTGTTTATTTCTTTGACAAATTGCATTTAAATATTCAAATATAATGTATGAAAAAACAATTAACAAGTATTTTATTAATGTTTATGAACAAACTTATGTGAACTTTGAAAGCTATCGATTTTTCTACCTTTTTTTTATCTTTCTTATTATTTATATTATTTCTTCTATTACAGGTACTAAATAGAGAATATCTTGCTAAATTGGATGAAGTTAGAGAGTTACAAGCAAAATGTGTTAAAGGAATTTCTCATCAAAGATATAGAATGAATATTATTTCTAAATCTTTAAAACAGTAAGTTTTTATTATAATGAAAAAGATATGTTTGGTATTATTCTATTGCTTACACTAAAACATTATATAATACACATATATACATATATATATATCTTTGTGTACATTTATTTAGGCTTCATGACAGAAGTACAAAAATGACGTTAGATAAAGATATGATGAGAAGAGATCAACAATTACACGAAATGGAACAAACTTTACCAAAACCAAATGGTGTATATCTTCAAATTATACTAGGCAGTGTTAATGTTTCTATATTGAACAAGAATGATAAGTAAGATTTCTACTTTATCTTTTTTTCCTTATACAATAATATCAGTTTAATTCTAAAATTGGAAACTAATGGATCAATTTATTTTGTTTGTCTTCTCAGATTTAAATACAAGGATGAATATGAAAAATTTAAATTAGTATTATCTGTAATTGGTTTTGTGCTATCTGTTTTAAATCTTTTTACTAATGTAAGGTAAGATATATACCTATATATATATCAATTATTAACGAATTCTAATGATTTCTTTAACATAATATTTGAATATTATTTTAGAACATTGGAACTGAGTTTGATGTTCCTTCTAGTCTGGTATTATTGCACATTAACAATAAGAGAAAGTATTCTTAAAGTAAATGGATCTAGAATTAAAGGCTGGTGGCGATTTCATCACTTTCTCTCTACTGTAGTGTCGGCTGTTTTATTAGTGTGGCCAAATACAGGTGCTTGGTATGCATTTCGTGGTCAATTTATCTGGTTCAATGTATATATTAGTAAGTATTCATTCTAATATCTTGAATGATTTTAATGAATTTCTTTTTAATTATCAATACTTTCATAAATATTCATATTTTTAGGTATAGTACAATATCTACAATTTCGTTATCAACGGGGTGTACTTTATCGTTTAAAAGCATTAGGTGAAAGACATAATATGGATATTACCATTGAAGGTTTTCATTCTTGGATGTGGCGTGGACTATCGTTTCTCCTTCCATTCCTATTTGTTGGATACTTTTTCCAACTTTATAACGCTTATATATTATATGTTTTAATATCACATCCGGAAGCTACTTGGCACGTTTCGGTTCTCAGTGTTATGTTCTTGATATTATTCTTAGGAAACGTCACTACAACTGTCATGGTCATTCCACAAAAATTAAGGGAACAGGTTAAGGATCATCTTCCCGGTGTATTTACTAATAAATCTGATCGCAGAAAGGATATCGTCAAGGAGGAAATTAAAAATGATGATAAAAGTGATTAAAAAGGACATTGATCAATCTATAATATCGATCAAAAACAAATAACAGTGGTTTTGTTCATTTATTTATATATATATACATACATATATATAAATCAAATGATATTTGCATAATTAAATAATAATTAAATAAGTCTCGATAAAAAAAAAAAAAAATAGGCGAGTGCTCACATCATCTTAACTAAAATTAGATTTGTACGAAAGAATTTCTATTTGATAATATTATATTTGATCCCTCCTCCCTTCCTATTTAGAAAAATCATTTTAAATAGATGCATTTTGTCATGATTTTGTTTCCGTGATACTTTATACTTTATACACTAAATTCTAATATTGAAAATATGATTTTTTTTAAACAAAAAACATTATATAATTATATAGAATTACTTATTCAATAAGTAATACATGTATATTACTTCATTTACACGCACACAAGTTCGTCAATTTAGTATCAATTATGCTTGGTAAAACTAGCATTACTATGATTTATAAATTTCTGTGATTAATTATTATTAATATCAAATTATTTGGGACAATTCGTAAATATGAATTGATTTATTTTTAATGTATTTATTATAATCTATGTATATAAATATAAATAAAACTACCAACGTAACTCATACGCCTACACACATATAATCAATTTTATCTAAACATTATTTTACATGCTATAATAAATATATGTAATTATATACTGCAAATACTATTATCTATATTTGAAATATTATATTTATTTTATCTGAAATATCAAATTTAATAATAAATAAGAATTTCTTTTTCTTTTGTCAAATAAATATCTAATTTATATGTAAGACTAATAAGATAATATAATTAATATTAATTAATATTTATATATACAATCATATAAATAGAATAAAGAATTTATTTAATATGTTTATTAATAATTTTGCCTAAACTTTTTCTATACTTGGGTGTATCGAAAGTTGCCTATCTCAAGGAGGGGGAGAATAAATCTATTTATCTATTAATAAATGTTAATTTTAGTGGTCCTTTAGGCGTGTACATTGGATCAATATAATAATCTAATTTTTCATGATGATATTCTATTTTGTAATATTGTAAAATCTGAAATAAAAGAATAATCTTAAACTTACCTAAACTATTCATTTGAATAAATAATAATTTAAATTTGTAATAGATGTAATGTTAGGTGATCATTTACTTGTTAGATAAACGAAATATTTCCTATATTATAATAAAATAATAATGAAAATAATAAAATGGTCGAAGAAATGTTATTATTGTTTGTGTTCGTTAAGCGTAACCATCGGAAAGTTAACTACTATGAATATCTTGTGAGCACCAAGCGTATCTTCGCATAAATGTCCTTATTCGTGTAGTCAATTTCTCTTTCAATTGCTATTTAACGACGTAAAAATACTACGGTCTCTCATTTTTTTCATTAGAAAAATAAAAGTCAAATTTGAAATAATTTTGTAAATTTCTTTGTTTTTTAGGAAGAGACTATTATCTGCTAGAAAAGATAATAAACGTGCCTTCCTCTTCATTTAGCACAGTCTTTTAAACTACTCAAATAAGACAATAGTATAATATTTTTGGAACTCACCTTACTGATTACAATAATCATTTCCAATTCAGCAAATCGTCGCCCAAGACACATACGCTTACCATAGCCAAAAGGAAGTGACGCAAATGCATGAAGTACACCGTTATCTTGTAACCATCTCTCAGGAATGAATTCTTTACTACTTGGAAAATATTTGTCTAGATTGCTTATAACGTAATGTTGAAAAACAACTTGCACCTGTATACATATGTATATCCATATACATGAAAACACATTTGATATTTAACATATAATTTAATTGGACAGTGAAATATTTAAAAATAAAATGTGTATACAAAACAAATTTTCTTACCCCTTTCGGTACATTATAACCACTAATTACTGTATCTTTAGTCATACATCTTCCATTTCCAATAACAACAGGATACATCCTAATTAAAATAAACAAATTATTAAATAGATTCAATAATGATTATATTAAATATTAGATAATTAAGCATTCAATTATTACTGTATAGAAAAATAAAAACCTCAAAGTTTCTTTAATACAAGCTTTCAAATATTTCAAATTTTCTAAGTGTACTGCTTCCATTGGTGCATCCCTCGATGGTAATATGTTGCATATTTCTTTGTAAGCTAGATCTTGTTTTTCTGGATGCGTTGCCAATTGATATAATACCGATCCCACAGAATTTGAAGTCTTTAGAAAAATGTTACAAATAAATATCGTTTGATAATAAAATTATTATACAGATATATGTATACACATACAAACTTATTATACATACTTACAGTATCTATGCCAACTAGGAATAAATCAAGTGCTAAAACTGTTGCTAATTTCGAATTTCCTTCTAAAGACAAAACTCTTTCCAACAAAGATAATTCTTTGGTAGAATTTGGAGAGTTGTTCCAGTTTGATAAAGCAGCATTCGTATATTTTGATGTAATTCTACATAACATAGAAATACATTAGGAATAATACAAAATATATTTATTTATTTCATTATATTTGTAAATTAATGAAATTTCTTGTTTCTTTAATATACGTAGTTTTCAATACAAACCGTACAATAGTATCGAGTGCATTAATATATTTTTTCCAAGTGGGTGTATTAAAAATCCTCCAGAAAGGTATTTTGAGTTCCAGAATACCGACGTTTTTAAAAAATGTAACTACTGCATTTATTAATTCTTGTGTTTCGAGATTAGCATTGTTATCTAAACAACCTAAACGAACGTCCAATGCAACTCGTGCGATAGCTGTTAATTAGATTCTATATTGTTCAGTCTACTTTTAGAAAGAAATAATAATAATAACATAAGTATATATACGCTTACACTCAAGAGACCATTTGTGTATCTCATTTAAAAAATCATCAGGTACTTCATTATTCAAATTCTTTATACTTTCTATCCTGCAATATAATATCAGAATTAATTATACAAAATTATGTCAACTTTAAAAAAATTGAATAGAATGAAGATATATGAGTAATGAAAATAATAAGAATAGAAAGAGGAAAAAAGAAAAGAATATAACTGAAAAAGGAAAGGCATTCTGTAATTATACCTTCTGAGGAATGAACGACTTGCTTCCTCAATTGCACCGACATACATTTTTGCTGTTCGTGGTTGAAGCATTACTTGTTGTACTTTGCTACGAAAATGATACCAACTCTCTCCATGACTGAATAACAGATACGAAACGTTAGAACTTTAATGGAAAAATAAATTATGTGTTTAGCAATTAGAAAACATTATATTTTCTTTGTTTCTTCGCTATTTTTATTACGAAATATATGTTGATGTGAACTCGTATTAGATAATGCATTTTATGGATCATAAAACTTGCGTTCTCTTTTATGAGAATTTAATACATATCTTACACCATAGATTTCACCGGATTGTTATCTAACGAATACTTTACTTATACGTTCCTGTAAAACCTAATGTATAATATTTCATTGGATTGTTACGTAAACTTTCTTACAATATGCTTTTAGAATATTATAATGTATGTAATTCATGTGTATTAGAAATGATATACTTTCTAAGTAAAGATAATTATTATGATGACTCCGGTTTCTTTATGAAAAGGTTTTTTTTGTCAGTGAAAGTGTTACTGTTTGATTTTTCTAAATTGGCGCTAAAACTTAAATGACGTCGATTTAATTTTGGCACCAATTTCATTTGAGTAAAATAATAATAGATAATTACTTACACAGCAATAACACCAGCGTCATTATCGAAGAATTCTTTTCTTAATATATGTTTATAATAATTAAGAGAAGGCATGGATGGTCGATGAGGCATTTTATCTTCTTGTCGAAAAATTCGTTCAATTTCGTTTGCATCGTATACAAAAACCATATCCGGTCTACCAAGTAAATTTTCAATCTTAACAATATCTCCATATTGTTCGTATAATCTTTTGGAAACTTTATCCACCGATTGTATTTGAAAATCACCTGAAATTTGTTAAACCAAATTAAAATAATGTTTTCACATTTGTGGACAAAATATTCTAATGGTATTATTATAAGACTATTGTTTATATAATCTTACCTATGTAAGGAATAAAACGCCATGTATTTCCTAAAATAGGAATTGGTTTTGGTCCAGGTATTTCCGCATATGGACGACAACTTGGGCATTCGTGTTTTTCAACTGTGGTTGCCAAAGTTTCTAAAGTTCTACATAATGTGTGTTGATCATTTTGATTATGTTTCGAATATCTTAGAAAAAAGGCAGAGATAAGCTTCTGCGAAGAATGAATTCTATAATTCAAAGAAACATTAAAAATGTTATTTATTGTACACAATATTGTTCAAATTTAATTATATTAAAAAGAAACATCAAGAGTCACATCAAAATTTCAGTTATTTGTAAATTTAAAAGTTCACAACGTAGAAAGAAATAATCGAAATATCGAAATTGTAAATAACGCGGGAAAATTCAAATTCTTTCTTCTGACAATCTTTCAAATGTTCAAGTAACTTTAATAGTTCGAATTTTAATTTTTCTTTTGTAAACTTACCTAAACGAAGCTAACATTTTTTAGAAAGTTTATTAATGATAATAATTAATTACTTATACAATCACATCCGACACATTGTTAACTGTTTTATCTAATTGTAAGTAAAAAAAAACAATGAATTACATAAAAGACTTTAAAAAAAAATAAAATAAAATCAGAAAGTGGAGAAGCACTCACGTTAAGCGTTCGAGAATTATAACTCTTATAAATCTATCTGGGAAAATATATGGCTCGACAAAGCAGAGAGAGAGCAGTTGGGAGAAGGAAACATAGAGTAGGGATAGATTATGCGTATCGCATTATAAGGTATCTTTAATGAAGTCCCTTCATTTTAAGCATCGAATTAAACATCAATTGAAGAATAGAAAAAAACCCACATAACACGAAAAGTTTGGAAATCTTTCAGAAATCTTGCAGGCATCATTATAAAATATTTTTAAAAAGATTCATAAAAGATTTTACAAAAATATTTTACTGATAGAGTAACAGTACAGTACTTGTAGAAAGATTTTTTAGAAACCTTTTTGAAAGATTTCAAACTTCCTAAGAAATGATTTAGAAAGATTTTATGCTATGTAGGTTAAGCCTTCCCTTTTTTAGGGAATCAATTATGTTGGTATCTTCAAATATAAAAAAGAAAAATATTGTTATCTGCTGGTAATAATTATATTCTCATATAACATAACTTATATTCTTGTTCTTCTATTTTTTACAGGATTCGCTCAAGTTTGTTTACGTCAATAATATATAATATGAGATATTTATTAAAAAGAATAGACAATACATAGAGATGTCTATTAATTATTTAATATTAAAACATATAAATATGTATTTACGTCGATGACGTTTCGTACCATTTTGATGGATTGGTTGGACCTATTGCTAATAATTTATTTTTATAACTGTGAACAAGTTTATTAAAGTTTGCATTTTCTGCATCCCTTTTTTTGGCAGATTTTTTAAACTAGAAAAAAAAGAAGACCAATTTTATTAAAAACATATCACTAGTGTAAAAAATAAAAAATATATATATATAAATATAAAAGAGGATTTGTTACTTTTACATCTTTCTTCACTTTTTCTATTTTCATTTTTCTGCTTTGTTGATCGTGTTTAACTGCCTTTTTTTCCTTCTTCGTTACTTTTTTATGCAGAATAGCTTGATTTTTTAAATTAAACCTTGATCTGATCTTTGTTTGTCCAGGTTTACTTTGATTACCAGTGAAAGTTTTTTCTTCTTTCTCAACTTTTCTTTCTGACTTAGCTTGGACTATTTTTTGCTCCACTGATTCTTTTGGAATGATTTTTTTATTTCCTGAGTAAAGAGGACTCCGTGCTAAATTTTTTTCTGTTCTCCTTTGTTTCGTATTTACCATAATACGATTTTCTATGGAAAATGCAACTATTGGTCTCTAATAAAAAATCGTACGATTAAACATAGGAAAAAATGTTCAATTTAGTGAAATGATTAATTTATCTAAGTTTACCTTGTATGGTGTAAAAATCTTAGGGTTATTATTTATAGCTCGTAAAGCTCTTAGAGCATCTTCGTGTTTTGTAAATGTTACAAATCCAAATTCTTTGGATTTACCTACACCGTTTGCATCAATATTTTTTAAATCACGCATAACTTTTGCCTAAAAATGTATATAGATATGAAAATATTGTAAAATATAAAACGATTTTTATGTTTTACAAGAAATGAAATAAAATATAAACATGTATAATATACTTCTCTAATGATCGCCGTAGGTCCACCATATTTTTTAAAAATTAACCTAAGTTTCGCATCATCTAGTGAAGCTGGCAAATTCTGAACAACTAAACGTATTCTTGAAACAAACATATTTAAATTACGTAATATCTGAGATTTCCAACGTTCAAGTTGTAATCGTTTAGCCATATCTGTAGCTGATACGCCTACTGCAGCTGGGCTTCCAGCTGTTATTACTGAAAATATTATGATTTTCATATTAATAATATTCCATTATCTTTTATACATTTTTTTACTTAAATATAAACATATTTATATGTGTTGTACCTCCTTCTTTAACAAGATATAAATTTCTCGTATCTCTTTCTTTTTTATTCTTTAAATTATTTTTATCCATAATACATTTTTTACTTAATGCCTTGTAAGGTTCAAGAATTTCATCTTGTAAACGTAGTTCAGTCCCTGCTGATAAACATTTTTCAGTATCTTCTATATTCTGAAGAAAAACGTTAATCTCATTTTATTTATTATAATTTTTTTTAAATTAATGATTCAKTAATTAGAATAAATATAAATCTATCTATTACCTTGAATTTTACAAATGCTGTACCTCTGGAATGTTCAGTCATACGGTCTATGCATATTAGAGCATARTAAACTGGACCGAACCTTTCTTCCATAAATTTTTTGAGTTCATTATTTGTCGTCGAGAATGGTACGTTTTTTAAAAATATGGTTTTACCATCTTCAACATCATTAGACTCACGTTTGAAATTTTGTCTCCTAATTAATTCTTTGTCGTCTGCTTCTTCTTCTTCTTCTTCTTCAGACATTTCTTCAGTAACTTTCTCATCTTTTATATCTTCTTCTTTTGATAAATCTTGTATATCCTCTTGGTTTTTTTCAGTCGATCTATAAATTTCAATTGATAATTGGTAATATATATTTTTTAAGTAATATATTTGTAAGAGTTAATTTCTTCATTACTTACAAACTTATATAATCGTTTTTAGAATCATCATTCTGATTTTCTTCGCATTCCATCTTTATTTCAGCATCAATATTATCTTCCTTTATATTTCCTGGGTTATTTTTATCTTTTTTATACTTACTTTTTGGTATCGCCCAATCAACCACGATGGATCTACCTTGAAGTATCTTCATGTTTGCATGATGTATTGCTTTCGCTGCACTTTGTACATGATCAAATTGTACAAAACCACAACCAACAGATTTTCCATTTTTCTCTAATATCTTTACTTCTTCAAKTTTACCATACTCATTAAAATATTCTTTTAAATTATCCTCTGTGAGCTAYACAATAACAACAAATATTTAAAATTAAGAAAATAAATTTGATATGTTTAATAATACAATAAAACCACTTACTTGAAATGGCAGATTTCTTATTATTATCCTTGCTCTCTTCTTACGAACATTTTCTTTATAAATTTGTTTATTTTTTAACGAATGTATATTTTTYCTTTCCATAATTTAGAATGTATCTTAAGAAAACTAGTATTTGAGGTTAGGTACACTTATATGAATAGGTTATAGATTTTCTGTTTAGTTGAAATAATATACTTGTTAAAAATATAAAAATATCAGAGTTTTTAAACGTTTTTATATAGTTTTTATAATTAAATTAGATAATATTTTGTATGTTTTTAATTGTATATAAAATTTATAATAAAAACACGTGTAGATACTTCTATAAATGTAGTTTTCATGCGTACGCACGTTTTCATGCGTACGCACGTTTTCATGCGCGCGCACGTTTTCATGCGCGCGCACTTTTTCATGCGCGCGCACTTATTCATGCGCGCGCACTTTTTCATGCGCACGCACATTTTTATGCGCGCGCACACGAAGGCTCTCACGTGGGAGAAAATGTCACGTCCTTGCATTACTAGGATTGGAACGATGTTATCAACAGTGATAAAAGTAGTGCCGTCTATTGAAAACGATTAAATTTGTAAATAAATTATCTAATATTTTAAGATTAGGAGTAATTTATAGTGATGGTCAGTTTATGTTCGTCTTACAGTGTTAAAATAAGATACACATTTCATGATTTATAAAAATTTATTGAATGTATAATATATAATATTAATTATAAAAAGTTAAGTGTGTAATAGTTAATTTTCAATATAATGTCAAAAGAAATGGAAGTGTTAGAAGTGCAAAAATGTATTTCATCGAAATTGTGGTATACAGCATACGAAGTATTTCGGACATATAATTAYCATAACATTTGTTCGGAACAAAGTACAGAGATGATTCAGAATACAGATTTTAAATCTGTCATCAAAATTGATATGTAAGTAACAAAGAAAAAAATGAATGCATATATAATAATTAATTTTCGTTATTATTTTAGTGACATGAAAAAGGAGAATAATTATAAATGGATTGAATATTTATTATTATGTAAACTTTTCCCTGACAAATTTTCTTATGATRAAAATATTCCATCAGATTTAAATAGCATTGATTTTCAAGTTGCTTTTGATTTGATTAATAATGTGCCTSAATACGTGATAAAGGTTTGTTAACACTATGAACCATTCAAAAGTCGAAGCTATTAATTCTAGTCTTAATATTTTACTAAAATTATTATTATAAAATTAAACTAAACAATTGATTTGGCCATCTAATATGAGTATTAGGTCTTACTACTTGYACAATGTATGAATTTGAAAAAAAAATTACTGTCCTGTTATCTTGGCTCTCCCCGTTGTAAATGAGAACAATTTTGATAACTGTTTGATAACAAATTACAACATAAATTACATCAACGTATATCAATTCTTTTTTTTTCAGAGTTAATCGATTTGACAAATGAATGGTTCTTACAATGATCGGATACTTATCTATAATTACCTATTAAATATTTACTAATTATTATATTGTTCCAATGTAAATGCAAAAGATTCTTCTAACGATATATTTAATGATTTTTCCCAATTAACTTTATCGTATTTAAAAAGATATTTATTWAATAATCCTATAATTGCTTGCAATATTATAAATATGTGTTGTTTATATTCATTCAGTAYTTCTATTTTTCCTAACGGATTATTAGATTTTTATTTGATTACATTAAAAGAAATAATGGAATTAATGATACCTAATGAAAGCTCTCTTGTAAATAAAAACAATGATGAATCRTCGTCTTTAATTCGTGATAAGATAACGATTAGTAATGAATATTTGGGAAGATTTGTATGTATCTTATCAAAAATGATCTTGACTGAATCTAAAAAGACTRAATTTTTTAAATGGCTATGTCCTATTGCATCGATAACTGATAATATTAGGGATATAGAATTGGCGTTATATTCTAGAAAAGATATGGCCTTTATCARTGAATGGAATTTATGTATGAATGAATTAAATGGACATTCGAAGTCTGCTACTACTGTAGAAGATGTCATTAGAATATGCAATGATATATTTAAATATAAAAATGATGATAATGTTATGRTTTTAAATGAAATGGAAATACTTAGGAGAATAATGACACAAAAATCACATTGGTTAACAGATATCCTAGTAAGTATTAATAGTTTTATTTTATTAATTAATTATATTTGTTTCCAGTCRTTGTAATAATTTTGTTCTTTCTATTTTTCTTCTTAGAATATATGTTACAYTTTCTTAACAACCGGTAATTTTAATGAAGTCTCAATGATATTGTCATGTACTTCATTAAAAAACTTTTGGATTGTTTTGTTATTCAAATTTTTAAATCATTGTTCGAAAGGTGATAACGAAGACTTACAAAACTGGACAGACAATGCAATTGTATTTGAAGTAATGGAATTTGTATTAAAGAATTGTAATCTGAGTATTTTTAACGATCATACTTTTCATAAATTAAATACCACGTTAAAGATACATATTGAAATTATTCAATGGATTTTGAATTTAAAAAGTTCAGAAGTTAAAGAAGAAATGCAACATGGTATAGAATTAAGRAGTATTGTACATGCAATACCATTAAAACGTCTATTGTATCTTYTGGAAAATTGTACAGTACTTTATTTATTAAAAGAAGCTACAAATATTCATGAAATAGATCATAATCAAATCAAAGAACTATTACAACGTACTGGAGAACCTGACAATATTTWTCAAGCTTATTGCAGTATGGTAAATGCATTAAAAGGAATTTTACTTTGTAAAAATTACAATGAGAAGTATTCAAATATTACCAAATGTTTCTTCGACATGGAATCATATTTAAACACCTTATATCCATTTACATTAAGATTGGAGACAATGGAAAATATATTTTCTTTCCTTTTCTTAAGTTACGGCGATTTTTGTAATAATGAAAATAAATTGCAAGATTTGAATGCTGTGCCAAACGAAAAGTCAACGTTTACTCACAGATCAAACAAACACAATAATAATAATCATTTTATTTCTAATAAATACGCTGTTAGAGAWTTATTATATTACTTGAAAAATAGTATTACGCATATGGAGATCGAAATAAGGAAAGTCAGAAATGATCCTACGTATATGGAAGAAATAAAAGAATTAACTCMAAGAATATCTAATTTAGTCAAATTGTTGGCTGATGCAAAATGGAGATTGRATCTTCATACGAATTCTTATTTTATTAAAAACGTAGGCTTACCTGAAAGCTACACCTGTGAAATGAATCCTAACACCTTATTAAAGGAAAATATAACGTATCCACAAGAGAGATTCAACGATGTTGTTTTTTATCAAAATCAATCATAGCAGCGATTCAGAAGATAACAAAATAAAAACGGATAGCAGCTCCGAAGCAGATATTATTGTTGGTAATACTAATGAATGGAATCAATCAAAGAATAAAATCATTTCAAACAATTTCATTACAAAAGATGCAGACCAGTCGACATTACTTATTAATTTGATGCTATCGTCTAAAGAAAGTTTAGTCATCCAATCTTTATGGAAAAATGATCATGTTAAAGCCCAAGAAGTTATAGAGGTATGCTTTTGATTGATTTATTTAAACTAACATTATTACTTATGTTTTATTCAATTTGTATATATTCCTATTAATATTATATATTTTTAATCGCAGTTTCAAACTTGTCATATATGTCTTGTTCAAATTCTGATGGTTCATATTTAATAGGTTTCTTTTTATTATGTTTTGGTATTAAAATACCTGGTGGATTATGTGTATAATATTGTTTAACAAATATTATTCTTTCTCTTGGAAAGCATATTTTACAACGGAACCAACAGCAACACCATCCTGTTATATATAACAAAAAAAGAACAATTATAAAATATTAATTATTCATTTAGTCTTTCAAAAAATATGGCATATATAAAATAAATCATTTCCTCTTTGGCACCAACATGGAATCGCAATGAACACATAAATGCATAGCCATACTTTAATAATCAACCATATTTTTGATAATGTTTCCTTTGCTTCCATCGTGTCTTTAACATTTTTATAATTATAAATTAAACATTTGATAGCTTTAATACCAAAATATTTCATATCTTTGTTAGTACAATATTTTGTATCATTTGAAATAATAACTCCTTCAAATGGTTTCTTAGTCATTTTGTCTTTTGCATAGGTATACTCTAATTTGTCGCTTATATGTTTATGTTTTTTCAATTGTTGTTCATAATCCATTTTAAGTGCATCATAGTCATAATCGCTTTTATCTGTAAACTCTGTTGTATCTCCCATAGTTGTACTTAAATCTATATATTTGTTAATTTCTTCTGCGCTTATAAATAACTGAGGTGATTTCTCTTCTTGATGTTTAAGCCTGATGACTTTTTCATTTTCTATATATTGATAAATAATTCTATAAATATATTACCTTGTATATATTGGCTTTGTCTCTTAGATACTGAAAATAATCATTTTTTCATTTAATTATTATAAATTTACTTACCAAACGATGATGTCGAATCACGTGTTAGTTTCATTAAATTGAAAACATTTGTTCTTCTTGGTGACAATTTGTTGTTCTGTTTTGTTGAAATTTCTGAATAATACTAGTAAATAGTATAACAATTTTCTATGTATTATTATAGCACGTCTCTTATTAAGTATAGTTTAAAAAACAAAAATATTAATACTTTATTTAATTGATTTTTAAATCCAGCTATATGTGGTTCCTCTTCTTGGAGTAAATTTATTATTTCTGCTTTGTCCAGTTTAGAAAAAGGAAAAGTATCAGGTATTTGTATTTTATTTTTAGCAACACGTTGATTATATTGTTTTACATAAGAATGTAGAGGTTTATATTTATCTTCATCTTTTTTTAATATTTCTGGATTTAAAATATCAGCAATTTTGATCATTTCATTTTCATTCTCATCGTCATCATTATAATTATCATATGGATTTATTTCTAATATTTCTTCATTCTTTAAATTTACCTATATAATATATAATACAAATATAAATAAAATATCTCTTAAATGAAATATTTAATTATAATATTGTTACAAATTGAATATACTTAACATCATCAAAAGCTGTGTTATTTAAAATATAACAACTTATTATTCCTATAATAATAACTGCTCTTTCCATATGTCTTTATTTAATTAAATTATCAATTAACATCACATGTAACATTAACATTTTCTTCATTGTTTAAACAGATGTTCAATATGAAAAATACAACATTGGATAACGAAATTCAATTTTCACAAGCACTGTTGAATTTCAAACAGGAAATATTAAATTCAATAAATCCTTCGATTAAAGCTAATATTTCCAAGACAAATATCAAGTCTACTACATTGGAGGTAAAATATGAATATTTCAACTATTTTTTCTTTTTTTTTTTTTGATCTTATTACAAATAGTATTATCATTTTTACAGACCATAAGATTAGTTGCACAAGAAGCTATGCATTCTTCCAGATATACTAATCAACTTGAAACGTTTATTGCTTCGCAAGAAGCACATATGAGAATGTTGAAAGCAAAAGTTAATAACAACAAGATATTAACTTTAAGTGTCTTAGATTTAGCCTTAACTATGGGAAAAACTTATCCAATATCTCAGAGTTTTTGTGACGTTGCTATGAAATATGTTACATTATGCAAATCATTGGATAACACTGAACACAGTCATTTGTTTAGACAAATATTTCAATTATTACATGAAAATAAGAAAGATATACCTGTGACTAATTTATTATGTAACGTTACAATTCCATTATCCGTCAAAGATTGGAAAGAAAAGAATGAATTATGGATAAATATTATGACCGGATATAATGAATTTAAAATATCACAAAAACAAATGATTGACAAAGAAGAAGATATTAAAAATAGCAAAAAATTGAATGAATTAAAAATAATACAAAAATTAATAACATGTTGTAATAATGGTAAAAGTTTTTTAGCAAATTTACAATACCATTTGCAACATTTAAAATCAATCGCTCCTAATAATACAGGTATAAATAATGATCTTATTTCGTTTTTATAATAATTATTATTTTCTCTATACATAATATCAATTTAATTAATGTTTGTCTTTTTTTGATTTATTTTAGATAATACAGAATTGTTAACATCAACGAAATTGTTAAATATCCCTCTTCACAGGTATTTTAGTTATCATCTTTTTAATAAAAATGTTGAACCCGAAAATCTTGAACAAATTGCTGCAAAATTAAAAGTTAATCTAGTGTACAACATTCTTATAAGTACTTCCCCGATATTTCCATATTATCATAATAAAAAATCGGAGAAAGATGATATTAATTCTGGATGTATAATACTAAATGGAAATCTGGATACATCTGTAAGTACGAATGATATGTGAAAATATCTAAGATTATTATTAATAAACTTTATTAATGTTTTCTTTTTTTTTTCAATTGCATGTTTAACAGGGTTCAAGGAATTCTGTATCGAGTAATCCTAATCAGTGCATTTCAGAGATACTGATGGAACTTTTACAAGCATTACACACCTTAACTTCAGTTAAATCTAATTTACCTTATTCATGTTTAAATGATCTTTCAAAACATGTTAATATTCAAACTATATTGAAGAAAACATCACGCCTTGCAATGTTGGATCTTAGCGAATTATCTGTTGGAGATGAAACGTTGACATTTTTTTTAAATACTTGGAATGTTATGTTCATACACGCAATGTTACTTATTTGGGCAAACAATTGTTCATTCAATATTTTAAAACATACGGTTTCCTTGATGTCCATTGGTTACATTATCGGTGATCTAGGATTTGTAACACTTTATACTCTTCGTTCCAAATTGCTAAGTGGTCTATCATTAAATGAAATATCCTTATCACCAATAACAGAACTTAATGAGCCAGCATGGCAAGATTTAGATTTAATACACGATCCAAGAGTTATTTTTGCCATGGCTAATGAATATAACGAAACACCACGAATACGCGTAAGTATTGAATTCTCTTTTATTTTTCTTTTAATGCTGTTCAATTAATTTATATATGTATGTTTAATTTATAATATTATTATATAGGTTTTTGAATCGAGCACATTAAGTGAGAGCTTAAACGAAGCAGCAAAGGAATATTTGGATTATTATTTAYAAAAAAATTATCACATTGATAATGTTGACAAATTAAAAGAAGAAACAAAAATAATATTACCACATCTCGTAGAACAATATGAGAATTTGTTGCATTTGGATAAACAAAATGAACATGTTAGTAATGGGAAAGAAAATATATTTTCTATAAAGAATTATTTTCAATGGAAAAATGAAGAAGATGTGATGATCGAATATAAATCAGCTCATTATTCTTATGAAATATTATTAAAATATGAAGACAATTATCAACTTTCTATACAAATTTGTCAAACTGATAACGACGAGGAAGAAGTATTTACTAGTGAAAAGTTATTGATTAAAGATAATTTGTTACAATATTTGGAATGTCATTGTTGGATACTTTCTTATTTAGTACAAAAAATGCAAAACAAACGTCCATCTATTTTAGATAGAAGTTATAATAATTTACAACGTATCTCATGTTTGGAAAATTTGTTGAATTCATCTTGGGTAAGCCAATTGAAATGTTTCTTCAATGAAAATGAAACTTATACTGGTATTCACGAAACAGTACCAACAAATAAACTATGGAATTGGTTTAAAGAATCCTGGGATAATAAAAGATGGGAAAATTGTTTGAACGTTATAGATTCTCTATCAGATAATAATATTGTCAAAACTTTTGAAGTACATCACTTTAAGGATAGAGTTTTAAGTTGTTTAACATCTGAACAAGAAAATACGATGAATCCATTAAAAACATTAGAATATTTATATCAAATTAATGACATACATACATTAGCCCAAATAATATTAAATAATATTAGTAAATGGCAGGCCTCTGTATGCGAATGTATTTTAATTCATACACTTAATCATKCGGATAGTAATAAATTACYTTTACATTGTAAAYTRCAAATGAATGAAATATTACGCAGAATAACTATTTTCCGTAAAATGTTACCATATTGTGGAAATGAAAAWWATAATATGTGGTACGATGTGGCATACTRTACCAATAAAATTGATCCSTTTGATATAATACAATCGTTGATCAGTGCTGACAAATTTGAATTATATTTAGAATGGTTCGAGTGTCAATCTTTTACATTAGAAGCACAATCCTCTGTTGCRCAAGATTTCTTCATTGGTTTATTAAAAAATGAGAAACAAGATTTTAAACAAGCTTTAAAGGTAAACAAAATTAATTACGATATATACGAATTATTAAGTTTTTATTTACATGATCAATTTTTGTTTCAGCTTCTTCAATCGTTACCACATAAATTATGCAATTGCAATGAAATTATGTAAAGCCGTACTTAAAAAGGTTGAATCTACCAGTGCACTATCTTTCCTCGTTAATTATTTCCTACAACATTGCAAGAAAACCGAAATCATTAAATATAAAAGAACTTTRATCAGTATAGATATTTTAAAAGAATTGAAAGAAAAAGAAAGATCATTGTACATTCATCTTATAAAGGATCCACTTTTAATGTTAGAACAATTATTAATGAATTGTAAATTTGAAACTCTTCAAAAAATATTAAGTGTAGTCTCTGCAAATTTGCAAGATACAGATATATCAATAACTGAATTTGATRAGACTATAAGGTTTTACAGTAAAAAAGCGTTAGACTTTAGAGTTTCTTTACAACGTGACATTGTCGATAACAAATCAAGAAGTATACAGGAATCTATTTCGGATAATGAAACTAATGAATTTATTATGCCTGCTAAAGTACCCACAAAAGAAGAATGGATTCCTAATGACAAGGTATTTTTTTGTTTTGTTTTGAAACAGCATAATATAGAAAATGATTTATTTTTAATATCAATGTTATTTATAAAAAAATGATTGCAGGCCAGAGAATGTAGCTGTTGTCAAACAGTGATATTCTCAATGTTTAATAGAAGACATCATTGTCGTAGATGTGGTCGTGTGGTTTGTGCAGTTTGTTCTCAAAGTCGTATGCAAGTTCCTGGATATCCAAGTTCTGTACCTGTACGTGTTTGTGAAGATTGTAAAAATCAAACCACTTTACAAATAAATATGTCACAAGGAGGAGTATCTACGCCAAATAGTGAAACATTAGATTATTGGAGATTGACAAGAGATGAGGCACATAACAAAACTATTAGAGAAGAATTTTCATTCGAATATGCTCCTAGTATTTCACTRTGTTTAGCCATTCTGAATTTACATTCTGATCACAAAGCATACACAAGGTATTTATTCATTGAATGTGTGTGAAAATACATTTAAATAATAARATATATTTATAGAGTAATATGATAATTATGTTAATTACAGTTTTTTACTTGATCGTTGCGATGAAATGAAACAATTGTTATATCCAGTTAACGATGGCAAAGTAAATCCCGAAGTAGATCACGTTGTTATTATCAAAATGATAAAATCATTATTAGTTGCTGCTAAAGTGAAATGTGCTAAATTAGGTTTCAACACAGGATTAGCTCATTGCGATCGTTTTCTATCACAAATAGATCTAATTACAACTCTTATTCATTCTGATTGTTTGTCCCTTATACCTTCGGATGACATGGATGAACATGCTTTGAGAAAATTAAGAGATTTACTCACAGAAAAAGAACAATGGACATTGGCGTTAGATGTTAGTACCAAATCAGGATTGGATACACAAGGAGTATGGGCAGCTTGGGGTAAAGCTTGTTTAAAAATAGAATATTTTGAACAAGCACGAGAGAAATTTCTTCATTGTCTTGACAAAGTTGTTCAGGATGATATCGATGGTTGGGAAGTTTTGTCTTATCCAAAGGAATTAGCATCCAAAAATATGGAAAATGTAAATGAAGCTAAAATTATTTCTAAAAGAACAACAAAGTCACATGCGTTGGAAGAAAGAAATTCACCGAATCAAAAGAAAGTGGAATGCGTTAAAAGTCGTCCGATAAAGGATCCACCATTGTTAACAGAAATTTTACAAATATTAGATAATTTAAATACAAACAATTATTATATCAATTATTCTCATCAGAAGACAGATGGAATGCCAGAAATATTATCTGTAATTAATAATTTAAAAGCTATCAGTCAAGGACAATTAACGATCAAGCATGTACATACTTTTGAAGAAAACATTTATTACAAGGAAAGTTTGTATTATCTACTTACTTATGGAAGTTATCATTCGATATTAGAATTCTATTTGAAGCATAAAGAATTCAACAAGTGTCTCGACTATATTTTAGAAAATAATTTAGAACCGGAATTATTTTTCACCGCCGTTTATATACATTGTTTAAAAACAGGCAATGCTGAGAAATTACAAGAGACTATGAAAACCAAAGATCCAAGTTTATTATTATGGAAAAAATATTTAATATATGTTTGCCATTGTTTAGAGAAAAAACAATCCTTCTATATTTTATATCAGCTTCAACTTTTTATGAAAGACTGTATAAGAGCATCCATGACATGTATTCGCTTTTATACCAATCAAGCTACTACTTATACGGATTTATGCAACAGAGTGCATCTCTTGATAGATGCGCAAAAACATTTAGAATCTGAATTAACTGTAGGTTTTAGTAAAAAGAGAAGAAAAAGTACAAGTTCCTACTATAGCAATCATGATGTTTTTATTATGGAAATGGAGCCTTCTGAAATAGATAAACATATTAATACGATAAGTAGACAAATGGAAATAGCCAAGTTTTTAGGAAATGCAGAAAAAGAAGGAAGATCACCGAATGAATTTTTATGCCTTTTTCCGGATATAGAAAGTGATTCTACGTCTAATTCAGAATTACCTACTTTATTTGGTAATTTACAACAAAAGACCCACTTAGCTGTTTTAGCCATACTCTGTGGACGCGACATCGAAGAAGGATTTGGCATAGCGTTTAGAATTATGCAAGGTTAGTATTTCATTTTTTAGATAATACAGAGTGTTCCTATTTTTTTTTTATATATAAAATTGTTGTAGATTACAATCTTACGGCACAAAAAGTGTACTCTTTGGCTGGACATGTCTTAGCTTTAAAAAATAATGTTAGTGCTGTTGAACAATTAATAAAATGTTATAGTAATTCTGGAGTATCCAACACACATGTTATTTGTGATCATGTACTCACGCACTGTATAAAATTAATGCTTCAGCATTCTTACAATCATTCTGAAGAAGTAGTAAAAGATCAGATAGATGTACTAATAAGATTGATAACAGATATTGAACTTAAAGTAAGAGAGAACAAAATGGATCTTCAATCATTATCAATTATAAAGGATTATTTTAATATCTTCTTCTTTTACATTGTTTTTTGTTTCTTCAGATAAGTGCATACATTGAAAGTAAGCAATTAAAAGCTGCATATCTTCTTGCGGTTAAATATTCAAGAGCTCAGGACATAAGGAAGATCTTAAAAGAGTCTGATCGTCTTGGACAAACTGCCATTAAAAATATTTGTACTAAATGGTTACAACGTTTACAATAGACAGATGATGTAAGATATACAAATATATAATCGTAATGAAATGTTATTTCTTACGATTACATTTAATGGTAAGTCGAGACGATATGAATTTGTATTTACTTGTATATTATAATTATTTGTTGCATTGTATGTAATTTGAATAACTCTAACTATAATAATTATATTTTTAAATATTATAAGAACATTTTATAAATATAAGAAAATGATAAGATGTGTATATTATATTATTTGTACATTAATTGAATTTAAGGTTTTTTCATAAATAATAATAATAATAATAATATTAATATTAATTATAAGAACAACGAAGTTGACTGTATATATTTGAAACTTCTGTTATTTCAAACAATTATTTAAAGTTTATTTTTAACAAAAAAGTTATATATTTTTTTCATATATTTAATGACGCACATCAAAATACATGCAATATAAATACTGATTATATGGAATGTATATTTATATATCTATAACAATGGATTATTCAAAGATCATAGTTTATATATTAAAAATGTTTATCATTAATTGTGGATAAAACTGTATCGTTATTTTTTTTTTTGTTCTCTTGCAACTCTCATAGACAAAAAATGAACAGTTATAATTATTTGTAAAAAGAAAAATTGTACCGATGCGCAGTAAACGCATTTTAAAAGTGGCATTTCTTCAATTAAAAATTCTCATATTATATTCGCATAATAAATTCACTTTCATAAATAATAATAATAATATTTGTTTTCTACGTAATCATTCGATGCAAAGATTATGGTCGATGAATGAATAAAATGAGAATTAAAAATATCACATGAATATTCCCTTTTGCTATTCATAATAGTTTACCATTATAAGTTCCAATGATTTATTCTCTCCCTTATATTCCATTTAAATATCAAAATTCTTTTTCTACGTGCTTAATACTTGAAGTTGAACACAATTATAATTCACCTTTAATTATGTTCCATCAATGAGCATAACCTTTGTTCATAATTTCCAGCGAATCTAACATCAAAACTTTTAATTGAAGTTACCACTGAATCTTTTTCCCGTTGAGACCAATTTTGGCTCCATTCTCGGAACAATTTTACTCTACATTGAAATAAACTTGGTGGTCTATCAGAACCTTCCTTACAACTCATGTTTTCTATTCCCGGTACTAATCCATTGACTAAACCTGGAGGACCACATTGTTCCAATAATATTTCTAAGAAGTCTCCTCTCTGCATTTCTGACCATTCTCTGAACCATCCTATTACGTATCTCATCTGGGATTCATTTGATAGTAATGTAGACATATTTCATTCTGAAAATGTTATTAATGTCATCAACATATGATACTAATAATAATTATAATATTACTACTACTACTATCACTATTACTAATAATAATAATAATATTAATAATAATAACAAAAAATTAATAAAAAAACAAATATTAGAGTTACTGTATTGCATTGCTATTGCATTTATTTGTAAACATTCACATTTCCATAGGTTATGAACGATAGAACACAATAGAAATAAATCAGACTAATTGAAATAGTAATTTCAATCGAGAAACATATTATTTCTTAATAAGAAATATTACCAGTAAATATATGCAAACGTTTCTTTTATATTTACGTTTTTAATTCTGTAGTTGTAATATTAATTTGAGTGATCCGTATAAATGGATGATTTATCAGAACAAGTAGAAAGATAAAGGTTACGTAGTCCACGATAGGGTAAAACTAATGAAAGATGGACTTAATAAATTATTATTATTATTATATTTGTATAAAAATCAACATTTATATTTTTATATCTATGTTTATATATAGATAATTATTATTATTATTATTATTAATATTATATTTCAATCTATTTAATTAACTTGCATTTTTTCGCCTCAAGTTCAACATCTTCATCAGTGGTTGTGTTTGAATCTGTATCATCCGACACAACCGTGTGACCTTAAATTTATACAAAATAACACAATTAATAAAGAATTAAAAAAGAAAATAATAATCATAACAAAATATTTCAAACAAACAATACAATTTGTTTAATAATATTATTATTACTTTTGTTACCAGTTGATACATTTTGTTCTATAAGTTGAGTTAAGAATTCATTGATCTTCTTTTGCATTTTTCGTATATTCAAAGTTACGTTATTTAAATCATTAATATCAGAATATTCGCAAGTCTCCTCATAAATGTTTTCATTATTTTGTAATACTTTGACACTAATACCTGAACAACTCATTTTCGCGTTTATTTCAAAAACACTCTATACAATAATACGTTTAGAGGTAAAAATAATAATCTTGTTTGAAAAAGAAGCAAATATTATAATATTGTTAAGATATATTTATTTTTATCATATGAAAATAATTTGTGTTGCATTCATTTTTAATCATTTAAAATATCAAATATATTTATAAATATATAAAAATAAATATATTACCGACCGCATTTTATTATCGACTGTGATATATGTGCCGCCATCTAGCGGTACTAGCTAATACTTTATTATTATCGACTGTAGATTATGTGCCGCCATCTAGCGGTACTAACTATTACTTCATTATTATCGACTGTAGATTATGTGCTGCCATCTAGCGGTACTAGCTATTACTAATGAGCATTGACTAAATTCTTCGTAGTTCATTGATTTTTAAAAATTGAAAAATTTTTTTTCGCGCATTCGATCATTGACTGAACTTTTCGTAGACTCAAATTTATTTATTTTTGTATACTTGTGTTATCGTTTATGTTAAATTTATTCTCTGTATTGTTGAATTTTATTCCAAAGTAAAATAAACATGACAAAGAGAAGTTGAAAGAAAGCAGTAGTACTTTTCAAAAGCTATTTTTCAACGCTAGAAAAGATTATATGCAAAGTATTTAACGTGAAACAGACCCGAGTAAAGAAAACATACAAAAATATATGCGTTGATCTAAATTAGAAATTATACAGTAAATTTTTTTTTTGTTGAGAATATTAAATAATTATTTAATTGAATCTCCGAAATAATTTTCTAAATATTTTGTTGAATAATTTAAAGAGTACAGAGTATTAACATTGATTAAAGTAGTCAATGCTCGATGTGCGGGAAAATACAAATGCCATTTATCGAACTATCAGATCTTAATTAATTGATCGATCATATATGTGTGTATTTATATATGTATTATATATTATTTATAGAGCGTGACAGAGAGAATGAATGTTATATGAACCGTAAAAGGGCTTGTCACCATGGCACACCTTCAAAAAAGAAAAAAAAATGTAAAAAAGAAAACGATAACAAATGTTATTATTACACAATGTATTTGTGCAAAAATTTCAAATGCATCATATTTTATTTTGATATTTATCTTACGATTAAACTTTCATATAAAAATGTCTCACCCTATGATCACATATGTACATTTCACAAATACATTAAATGTGTGTGTGTGTGTGTGTGTCTCATACATTTCCCCTACTCTTTGACACCAGGTGTCTTTCCTTTTTAAAATGTGCATCACAGGGGATAACACACACCTCCATACAAAAGACGCATTTATACCGTCGTCTACGTGAGTTTGCGTACCTTCCTTCAGGTATCAGCTGTGCTGAATCGAAAGGATAATACATATATCCTTTTATATATATATATATATATATATATGTACACATACTACATACATTTACTAATATTTCGTGTGAATGAACTAAAATGGAGGAAAACGTAGAGAGATAAGCGCAAACATTGTTATTATTCTCATGTATGTTCAAGTGAAGGAAGGGTTTGCCTTAAACCGGATGGATGTAAAACGTAAAAAAGAGAAAGAGAATAATATTATCTTTCAAATTATTTACAGACATTTTCTAGTTTATCAAAAAAAAAAAAAAGAAAATAGCAAAATTTAAATTAAAACACATAACACAAACTCCTTTTGCAGATTCGCCTAACAATTCGAAATGGTTGTTTTAAATTGGATGGAGACAGCTGGTTCGAACGATAATGCCGCTATTTCAGTGTATTTTTGGTATACATACGCACACATATAAAGCATGAAATGTTAGGATGCATTGCAAATCGTTACGCAAAAAGACTTTTGGTACGAATTTAAGATCGTTCAGTGACGACTATGATGACGATACGTGTGGTTTATGGTGGTCGCTGTTGTGCCGGTCACGTCGATGATGTTCCTGGTGTTACGTGTGTTGAAGACATTTCTTAGTAGTAGTAGTAGTAGTAGTAGTAGTAGTACGGGTATCACACAACGATATAGAGGAGTATGTTAGTAGAAGAATACTCGCCTAATACTCTTCAGCCCTCACTCAGTTCAACTCTGTCCGCAGACTTTGACGGGTACTTTGTGTTAGCAATTGTCGCTAACTTTTCTTCCATTTTTCACGTGTTCACTTGTTCATTATTATCATCTTTTAACAACTATTTATTTATTTGTTTATTTATTTAGCTTAATTTGTTTCTTATTCAATAGACAATTGGAATAAGAGGACAAATATAAGAGAAATGCGTTTGTTATTAATGTCATTTGAATATTGTGCATATTGCATTATGCGTATTTGATTTTTGTAACGCGTAAGAAAAGTGTTTCTCTTCTCTTCTGTCAAGTGTGTATTTATACGTGATTAAGTTTATTTTTATTTTATTTAAATTAATAGAAAAACAATGGTGAGTTGAGTGCAATTACTATTGTGTAATTAATATCGAGTGTATTAATTAACTACATATTTATATGTTTTCTTTTATGAGAACATGACTTTTTTTCTATTAAAAATTTGTTAGACGAACAATCATTCAAATTAACATAATTTTGAGTATTTTTAAATATAAAAATAAAACGCGTTACAAAATATCAATTGCATCAAAGTTGATTCAAAGTTATACGAATCTAAATGATTTTAATACGTGTTGTTCAAATTGTGAAAGACAATAAGATAAAAATCCTGTTTGTGATAAGCCTAATCAATGGTTCTCCGTTTTTTTCTTTAATTTGATTTTTCTTAATGTTTTCGTAAAACGATAGAAAGACAGAATAAAAGATAGACAATTTTATTGAGAACTATGTCAGAGGTTGAAAGTCATTGATAAAAATGATGAAACAGAGACAGAGAGAGAGATAGATTATTATACAAGCAAAATGAACATTTTTATTCGATAAACAAGTGCTATGATTACGTGGAAACATTCTCGATTACATTCATTGTTCATTGAAAGAAGAAACATGCACATACATGCACATGTTGCAAATAAAAAAGAGAGACAGAGAGAGAGATTAAGTATCGGAAATAGTAAAATGTTCATTAATGAAAATGAATGTTTTGTTTTTTCAGGGGCAAAGTTTTACTCAGTTAGAGGAAGTTATCCTTTCTTTTCTTTTTCTTGTAATTTTTCAAGTGAAAACTTTTTTCAAATCAGGCTGATTTGAAAATTGTGAACTGGAAGAAACCGATGAAACAAAATTAATTAATTAATTAATTAATCAAATTCAGTGTCACAATATGTTTGTCCACTAATAATTCCGAAACTACTCGAACTTATCTTCATGAAATTAATTTTATTTCACGTGATTTTTTTCAACTTAGCACATAGCACACTTTTTTTTATATTTTTATTATTTTTTCTTATTACTAATGTAAAGATTTTTATTAAAAGTTAGGTTATCTAGGTTCTGTAAGGTTCTTTCAAAATAGATGGCACTGTATTATAATTCAATTATTTCGAAGCATGATTTTCTTTGAAGGTTTTACTTCTACAATGTGTGATCTGCACACATCTGTTTTTTTTTTTTTTAAGAATTTAACAACAACAAAAAAAAATCAAGAACAAGTATTGCAATGACGTAATTTCTAAAGTGGATAAATCGTCTCCGTCTTTTCCACATCGTGCTTAATACCTTAATTAAGTTCACGATACGTGTTCCGCACTTTTAAACTTAACACAACTGAACAGAAAGAAAATATTGCAAATGGAAAGAAATGAAATATAATCGTGTCGTATAATAATAGAACGATTACAATTATTTATTTATTTTTATTTGAAAAAAAAAAAAAAATAAGTACAATTTTAAACGTACATTTATTTCCTTTGACGAAGACGTTCGTTATTTCGCACTTGAAACCCTTTAATAGAGTTTAATTAATGATTGCATCTTTGTCTTTTATCTTTATCTTTCTCTTCCTCTTATTGTTATAGTCTGTGTCTTTTTTTTTCTTTTTTTTTTTTTTTTTTATTACGATAGTGACTCACGACGACAACTTGTGGAATTCACGACATGTTAAAACATTTCATTCATTTTTTCAAGCCTTCCACATTGACTATTAAATATCGTACTATTATTATTAACAATTTATATTGAGAATAATATATTTTGATTATTTGATTTGTGACGAATATAACGTTGACAACAATTTCAACGAAAATGTTCTCTTTTATTCCCTCGGTGTTCCTCGAGGGTTGTGGTTGAATTATAAGTCGTGGGTGGTAAGGGATGATTCATCCCTTCATCGAAAGAAAACGAATCGATATGAAAACCTTGTGCCTTCTCTCTTTCCGTCTCTCTTTCGTGCTCTCGTGTCGGACACGTGTCCTCAGAGTGACCCTTCTGAAGGTCAATTTTTTGGTCATAGTCACAAAATCAAATAACATAACAATTAAACATTGTTAATAATTGATTTACTAATTAACAAATATTATTAACTTTTGTAAACAGAAATGAAGACAAATTATTATCAACATTGGTGATGAATAAGGTGCAATTAATCAGACTTAGAAGATATGGAAGAAGATAAATTATTATGAGCAACATTGGTACATTGACGATTCTAATTTTGCTAACAACATTAACTGATCTTAAAGCAGTGACGGTTGTTAACCATCATCCTGATGACGAATATGTTCTCGAACATGAAGTTCTTTATGAAGATGCGATCAACGAAGCCAAGAAACTTCACATTTTCCCTGGTAAAACAGCACATTTACATTTACATTTATTTTAGTATAAGAAACAACACATTTCTCCACCTAGTGAAAAGTAGTCTGAATAGAAGAGAATTTTGATATGGTTAGACCAATATGTATTTATCTTTCAACCAAGAATAACTCGCTTTGATGAAGTCAGTCGATTTAGAACACACTAAGTGGGGCCCCCAATATTAGAATTAGATTCTTTTTATTTTCTAATACCAACACTTAAGATAGTTTTCATTTTGGAATAACATTGTAGAGATAATAAATTGTGATTGAGGGGTTCTTGCTTAAACTCAACGATCACCTTGTTCTCAATGTAGATCTATCTTTGACGTGAACGCACCTGCCTCATGTATGTATGTGTGTGTGTGTGTGTGTATTTAACGATTTTCAACAAATGTTCTCTTTCATACAGAAATCTATGTATATATATATATATATACAGTATAGCAATTGACTTTATTCCAGGGCCAATCCCAGGCTGTAAACATTGCACCAATTCAGAGATAACCTATTGTGAAAATGGAAGCGTCATCAATGATCATTGCTGTTGCGATGGTAGTTATAACAGTAAGTCTTTTCAATGATTTATTTGTCAGTTTTTTCTTTTTTTGTAAATAAACTCTTGACCGGTCAGCCAATGTGTTGAAAAAGTAATATGCAAAAAGGAAGAAACGGAATGATTGATCGTCAATCGATCGAATGGTTAAAAGATTTTAAGTATTCCAGGTGTGCAATTCGTACGTGCAGGTACGCGATTTCATTGTTACTACCGGCCCGTGATCTTAACTCGAATAATGGCTACTGTTAAACTTTACAATCATTTCTAGTTTTTTTTTTTTGTATTTATAATAGCAGCTTACGATTCGTAATAATAATTTTCGTCATTAAATTATTATTTTTATTATTGTAGGATAAATATCCCTATTACGAGAATGAAAAGAAACGAGGACGTAATTACTATTTAAAATCTTACTAAACAAATATCATTTATTATATAAACAAGTAGAGGTGTCCCCCTTCCCCACTCGTTGCTGTAGCTCACAATCAGCAACGAATTATCTTATACTACCATCTGTTAGAATGATATAAACTATCGTATCTTTCAAGTTGGATAAAACTGCACAAAGTGTGCAAAATTTGATTAAAATCCGTTCAGTAGTTTAAGAGTCCATTGCGGACAAACAACGTGACACGTAATTTATACATATTAAGATAAGATTGAATCTTTATTTAGTCTCATTTTTCATCTTATCTTATTTTTGCTCGTAGTAATACGATAATGTAAATAACCGTGCAGAATGATACAACACCGGAAGTATTTGTTATCTTTTCTAGAAAATTGACCACACTCCCCCACAACCTGAACCGGTTGATTATCTTGATATCTTGTTTTTTTTTTTTTTTTACATATCTTTTTTACGCATGATGTACAATTTTCTGCATACCTATAGATATTTATGTTAGTGTAAAAAAAGAATTACAATAGGTTGATTAATCAAGGTTATACTGAATATCAAAAAAAATGTGATTTTTGTAGTATACAATAAGTAGATCTATTTCGTGGTTTGTTAGTTGAACAATGTTTTTGTATTGTTTCAGAAGTGTTCCCCTTCGTTGAGCACAGTTGTCGCGTGGGACCAGAAGAATGTAAAGTAGAGGCTGGAGACTGTGCCGAGTATACAAGATTACGCGAATGTTGTTGCCATACGTATTTGGCATCTATGTGTAAGTTTAAACAAATCATTCAGGAAGAACTAATATTTTCAATACACATATAATTTCATAAGATTGTTTTTCTCATTCAGGGAAATATTTAGCAACTGGTCAAGGATCTCACAATTATTCAAATTTAATAATGTTCCTTACGATACTTGCAATGGTGCTCGGATTATACATATAACGATTATCAAATATCATTAAGAAAAAAACATTACCAAATATTTTGTACAGTAATTCTTCTTTTTTTTTCTTTTTTCAAAATAAATTATTTTTACATGGATCACTTTTCATGACAAAATTTTACAGAATAAAAAATAAGGACATAAAAGAATGATTAGATATGTATGTATGTATATATACGTAACGTACACACACACCACTGATTAGAACTTTAACGATAATGATATAAAGTATAGAAAAAAATACTGGGATTAAGTTAATGACACAACACGCAAACCTTATTCGTAAAGTAACTATATAAATACATCAGAGACCGATCCTGCTTACGTCACACAATTTATATTGTCTCGTTCGTTTACATCCGTCTTGAGAAAAAAAGAAAAAAAAAACTCAATGAAAGAAAGAAAGAAACAAAAAATTGACGACGATTTCTCGAAGAGATACTTCGATAATAGAAGAAAATTTAATCGATTAGATTTCTTTGTCTAATTCACGAAGCCAAGAAGGTTTGTTTTTTTCACACGAATTATTGCGTTACTATCCGTTTCATTTAAAAATGTTCATTTAACTAACGTCGAGTTATTATCAATGACGAATGATAATTAAAATAGGCGATCTTTTGAAATTGTACGATGTAGCAGCGGTAGAAGAAGAATCAACCTGATAATATGCTAATTTAACGAACTTTCTATCGCAAATGTTATTGTCCTTTACCTACTTTCGTTAATGACCTAGAAACAAACAAAAAACAACTATAAAGAAAAGCAAAATTTCAATTAGGTTTACAATGAAGATTTCAAGGTGGTATTTTAAAATACTAATAATAGTAATAATTAACTTTAATATATTATTTCACTTATTTAATGTCGTTCGTCCTACTTGGATACCTAAAGGCATTCGTTGATTAAGTCATATAACCAGTTTCACATAACGGACTCGGTAGATATTTTCGATACCACCATAAAAGCACTTCGAATACACACGAGTAGGTGAATCTCCTGTTGATCCGAACATTTCGTTTCATTTCTTTGAGAAAGTCAGTCGTGTTTGGTGTTGTTGCTGATAGTTTTCTATAAAATTACATAGAATGGCACATTATTTGATTTTATTGTTATTTATCTTCCCGTACAATGTGTTGGGTTTATCAAGTAAGTAACATCATTCACATTAGTATTGAAATACGATTAATATTTATCAATTATTACATTAATATTAATTTATAAACAGAAGTGTTATTTAATTGTAAATGTAATTAATTTGCTTCGTAATATTTTAGAAATTATTCGTGTATATTATATTTATATTTAAATGATTGTATCTTAAAAATGTGCCCCTTCGAGTAGATAACCCGGTTTACAGCAGTGACGAAAACGATAAACCATCAGAAGAAACACTGCAACCTAAGATAAATGCGCGACCGTACTATGATGTACCACTGGTCGGTAACTATTACCGACCGTATCCCACGGTAGATAAGTAAGTATTCTGTTTTATCAAATTAGTTTTTTTATGTATCTACGATATCGTCAGTCAATGGATGTACCTATTTGTTTCCAGGAACAGATGTCCCCTATGCGATAGTTCTATATATCCCTATTGCAGCGAGAAATTGTTACACGATGCGTGCTGTTGCACAAATCCTTACATCCAAGAATTACCTTATCAGTGCAAATTGGCAGATTGTAGATTTTTACATGCTAACAGTTGCCGAGAACATAGACTTATTGCAAATTGTTGTTGCACCGATGATTATCGTTCTTTATTGAAAAGTTTTGCGAGTGCACCCTTGTCATCATAACATTTATTAAACAAAGGACAAGAATAAATATTGAATAGATATTATTGGAAAAAAATATAACAACCGTACGTCTGTCACAATTATCATTATGGAAATCAATATGCAAGTAAATATATTAAGATTTTAGATATTAAATCTTTGATACATCTCCATAAATATTGGTAGTTTTATTTGTTATAGAATTTTAAATAATTGCAATAACTATAATAATAAAAAAGAACATGTGTGCATATCACACAAGAGTCAGAAGTGAAACCTTTAAATAAACAAATTTCGAGAGGATAATTTATTATATAATATTATTTGTATTTTTAAATTGTAATTATGTATTTAAATGCGCGCCTGTTTGTATGCAACCCCCCAGACACACTGAAAATGTTGCTTGCGAGCGTCATCTACTGGGACATAATTTTTTTACTGCCCGAAAGATAGGCAACCCGTCATACACACGTGTATAAACAGTTTGGAGTGCAAAAAAATTCCGTCCCAGTAGATGGAGCTCGCAAGCAACATTTTCAATGTATGTCTGGAGGGTTGCATTCATACAGGCGCGCATCTTTCTTTCCTTTTCCCACGACAAACCCTTTTTATAGAATTTTGCATTTGACTAAAATGTAATATATAACTAGACGACAGCTATTCTCGAGAGATTCGAACTTTAAAGGTCGTTGAACCTTTGAAAATAACTCAATAGCCTGCCAGTTACCTTTTTGGACCAGAATAAAGCTGGAACCTTTTCGATAGTTAGCCTTTTCATTTTATCCTACCTGACTGCATTGGAACATTCTTTTGCAAAATAAATATATATATATATATATATAAGAATATTGAAATAGTTTCTTTTTCCAGGAAATTTCTAATTTTGCAATTATTTTCTTTTCATCGTCAGATTAAACTAACAAAAGATGAAAAAAAAAAAACAAAAAAATTGAACGAAAGAAAATATCTAAATAGGACTTTCTTCTTATTTTTCTTCTTCTGTTTGGCAAAGTTTATCGAACGATTGAGAACGTTCGTTCGTGCGTATGTAAAAAAAACTGGGTCAATGGAATCGCGACAAGGGCTGTTCTTGATTATTAATTATCCGAGTCAATTAATCTTGACTTGCATTCAATAAAGTTAGATTGGGATAATGCTCTTGCTTGTTCTCTTTATTTTATTATCTACCGATAAGAAATGAACTGTAGTTATCATCTCTTTTACCCTTGTCTTCTCTTCCTTCGTATATAAATAATATATACACCACATATTTGTCTTTGACTATCTTATTATTATTTATATTGGTCTTGTATAATTCCAATTAACATACATTCTCATGAGATTATCGAGATTATTATCCTTATTTATTTTCTTCTTCTTCTTCTTCTTCTTCTTCTTCAACGTTTCTTTTTTCTCGTAAAAATTTGACCATCGTACAACAATCGTATGGTATCCCTTAATCTTCTTTTTCAAATATATATTCCAACTATTTTTCTAACTTCAAAGGATGAAATATTATAACCTAAAGTTTAGGGACTTGTGAAAAAAGAAGAACTGACAGATCCGTGCCCTTTTCTTTCTTTTCCGTTCTGTTATTTAAGAATAGGAAAAAAGGTAAACTACCTGGATAGTACGAATTTTCAAATGCAACAAAATTAACAGACCATCGGGGCTTAGACGAATTTACCTGTAATAGCTATGGTCCAAGTAAAGGTCGTACACGTGTCTTCCTATGCACGTGTAGTCCGGAGGCTGTCGTCGTCCGGAGGCTGTCGTCGTCCGTAGACCGTCGTCCGTAGGCTGATTCGTCTGGCCGAAATGGGTGGTCCTTTTATCAGGGCCCACATGTGTACTTCTATACGCTTATTTAACTGTAGATTCATTTCAATGAGACTGTTAAACGATAATGCATTTCAATTGATTTGTCTACATATCGTACTATAATATTTACCTAAATTATATAGGCATACTTGATACTACAATCAAAATGACATTTACACACGGTATAACAGAAAATATCCTTCTTTTTATTACATTAAATTATTATAAAATATATTTCTTTTTTTTTTCTTTTTCTTTTTCTTTTTCTTTTTATACACATTCAATTTACCAAATTATTTGTCTTAATAATTTTTTTCATTTAAATATAAACTTACTAAAAGTGGAAAAAAAATGAGAAAGATTGAAAGAAAAATAAGGAAACCACGAAGGTAGTGAAACCCAAAGAAAGTGAAATGTGAGGGTAGGTAGTAACAGAAGTAAGTTACAAGGGAAAGGGAAAGAAGGCAACCATTTATGCTCCGCCCTAGACACGTGTATAACCTTGAGCTTTAAGCTTCAAAGCCCTCACCAAAACCCTCCTATACTCGTACATATCGCAGGCAATACATATGTAAGTTTAGAAACAACGGTGATAGGATACTTCCAAGTCATACCACAACGAATATATTTAATATTACCATTCTTTCTACAATTATATAAATAATTCGAAGATAATTAAAAAAAAATACAAAAAACGGACCAACAAGCTACTAAAGTAGAAAAAAAAAAGTAGGTTCCGATAAAGTTAATAATAGCAATCCACATGTAGCAGAGATAATAGAAGAAGATGATGAAAAAGAAGAAAAAAAAAATTTCCTCAACTTTGTATCTTTTGAATCGTACGATATTTGGAGAGAAAAAAAATGGGAGAGTGATAACTTTTATTTTTTTTTTAGGTCAATAATTACGAAAGTAGAAAAAAATAAGATGAAAAATTGTTCAAATTCACTTCACAAAAATTCATTTTACAATTTACTTCATTTTGCTTATTGCGTTGAACTAGTGAAAACTGTATAATTTCATGATTATAATTTCACGATACTACAATTGTTTGTAATTTTATTGAAAAACATAATCAGAGGTATGAATTTGTACTGTGTTTTTTGTCAAAATCACGTGCATCATCTTTTGACGTTTTATTTTTTTGCTTTGAAATACATTGTTTGCACCTATTGCACATTGCACACTGCACTTACCAAACGTTAGATTGTATCTTATTGTTAGAAAAAAAAAAGAAAAGAAAAAAAAATACCAACAAAAACTTTGACAAACACCTTTGACTTTTCATAGATGTTTTTTCTTTTCTTTTCTTTTCTTTTCTATTTGTTCATCTTTTTACAAATATGTGAATTCGGTGCAATGGTCAACGTGTCAACTTGAATACGTCTAAAAGTCTCTTAATCTTGAAACAATTAAAGAATCACATTGTTTTTTTTCTTTTTTTTTG